CTCTCAGTGATTTCCTCACAACCTGAGATATCAAATAACTCCGTAAGCGCTTCTGATATTTTGTCTAAGTCCCAGTAGTTGATATTTTTGCAATTCTTGATGCCAAGCTACTTCAGATTTTTGAGATTACACAAGGTATTCGTAATGAAACACAGATCAAACCTATTTATTGCTTCGAAGATACAGTAGGCGCCCTCTCGTATTGACATTTTTTTAACTTCTTAATTTGTTATGGAAGCTGTGTCTGAGATTAAAACCGCTTCGCGAAAATCGTGAAAAATACAAAACTGTCCACAAACTTGACATGTATAATACGTCAGTATATTAACAAAAGACAACCTATTAAGAGACAGTGAACAATTTTGTCAAACTAATTAAAATATGTTTTCTAGGAGACGGAGATAAATAAATGAACATCGTAAACCATATAATATTGCGGAAGACTCACAATTAAAAGATACAATAAGAGATATTTTAGAAGAATTGTATTCTGATACAGCAAAGCCTGAAACTACTCATAACATTGTCATCAAGAATTGATACGACTGACTAAGGTAGCAGAGACTAAGGTAGAGGATATTATTGAAAGTGATTCACTTCTCTCTGGATTACTTTCAAATATTAGGATAGAGGAGCTCACATCACAGATTGCTGTTGCATAAGGGCAAGGTATAACTTTATTCCAAAATCATTGATAATTGCCAAAACTTGCAGTAGTGTTAATGTTTGAGATGTTTATAATAATTTATCTATTATATGTTGGTTTATTTGAATTGATCAATTGTCCTAATAATATAATTTTGCTTTCATTCATAGGTTCCACCACATGACAGGACAGTTCTTGATCTTGAGAAGGCTATTTTGCGAAAGCTATCGTGTGTATTTTGAAGAGAAAACATCGGGAAGTAAGTTGAAAACACATTTGGGAGAAATATCATATTTGTTTCGAACATATTAAACTTGTTACAATTCTACTAACAATTACTAACAATTCTAAACGATTCTAAATGAGGACATTCTAATATTGTAAACGTTTTATATATATATTGATGTTTGTGCAGTCATATATATAACTTATTTCCTTGTAAAACTAAATATCTTCGAAATGAAATGCACCAAAATCGACACTCATGTCTGGTCGCTCAATGTTGTATAAATAAAGCCCACTTTAGACACGTGCCGATTACATATTTCTTATGCGATTTATTTTAATTTTAATTTTACTTACAAATATTAGAATCGAGTCATCTTGCATATATTTTGGATTATCCTAGACGGAAGAAATTTCTAAAAAACTTTCTAAAGATGTCTGAAAGATATCTTAAAAAAAGAAATAAACCTCTCTTCTGGACATCATTTAGAAATTTATTCAGTGTCAAGGGTTCAGTTTCAATAAATTTAAGAACGAACCGGGATTGGCTGTCAAACATCGAGTGCTTCGATACATCGAGATTTACAATTATCGCAAACGTCAGTTACGTCGGTCAGTTATGCCGGGGCGATCGCGACGGGAACGGCGTTCGAAAGCTCGTCCTGTGTTTCGCGCGATTTTAGCCGGTCTGAAAATCAGTTACCGCCGCTGAAAGTGCCGAATGCAAGGTACGTACATTTGTCGTAGCAATGTATCGTGATAAAACAGTCCCGAGAAGCGGGTAAATGCCCGAAATCGCGGGACGAAGTGTGTCAGCCGAACAATGTCGCGATCAGGCCATTATGGCGATCGAAAGTTCAACCCGCTGCTTTTCACGTTTCCGTACCTCCGGAGGGAAGGTTTTTCATGCGAAATGCCGTCGCAAGTGCAGAAATTAAGTCTAGCGTACTTGTCGTAGCGAGATACCGCCAAAAATACTGCCAAAATCAAGTGTTTCGCCGAACCACTGGTCGGCGGTATCGAGTGAAGTTCGCTCATATTCGTACTTCGAGAATCGGAATCTGTTCATTACGAGTGGTCAGTTAAAAAATGGCTAGCGCGAGACGCCGACCGCTCGTCCCGTGCTTCTCGTCGTTTTCGGGCCGAAAGTGCGAGCTTCCTCTGCGAATTAACGCGTCCGATGAGAACGTCGAATGTGAGCCTCGTCTCGTCTCGCGCGGCGAGTACCGTCGTGGTAAATAAACAAGCGCGGAAAGTGCATCCGGTCGGGAGTGTCGGGCAAGTGTCGTACGTTCGTTATGTTCTTCACCGAAAAGGATTATCTCACGTGAAGGCCGTCATCGGGAATGTCAACACAGCGCAGTATCTTCGTCGGATCGCAGCAGCGGAGAATTCAAATCGCAGCTTCGGCCGTCATGAAAAAGGTTTGTCGACGTATTAATAGGGCTGAGACCGCAACAGATAGCGCCTCTGCATGTCTTCGGTATGTTGAATCTAGCGTACTGTCCCTAAATTTACGTAAAAAATTGAGCACCAGGGTCCCATGCTTACTTGAATCTATCCAAAAATTGAAATCCTTGAACCTCACTCTGCCTACGCGATGCACAATAAAGAAATTTACCGCCCTCCGGAAACGTATGGACCCTGGTAACTTACCGATTTTCGGAACTTATCGATCTCGGAGACTTACTCGTAGGAATTTACCGACCCTGGTAACTTACCGACCTCCAGAAACTTTAATTACCCACTATGGATCAGTTGTTATTGTGTTATCCACTCTTACCGACAAAAACTAACTCATTGAAGTTCTAACATTGAACGGAAGTGTCGCTCTTTCTCTGCAACTTCCTAATTTCTTGTGGTCGCTGTGTCTGACATTGTAATCGTAATAAATACAAAACTATCTACGAACTAGACACATGCAATACGACAGTATACAATCGACGTATTTCCTTTATCTTATGATCTACTAAAACATATATACAAAATCTTTGTAATATAAAAACATTAGCCGATCGCTGAGACATATTTTGAATTGATCTAAAAGGATTGTTACGACAGATACCAACAACCAAGTTCTGTGTGTAACACTTACTATTTAACTATTTTGAATGTAATTTATTTTAGATATGTGTTTGTTTAATTTAGCTACAGATATATAATCTAAACACATGAACTCTCTTTTATAGTCGCGAATACAGTTGTTCTGAATAAGATAGTTTCAATAATATATATATTTTTTTTCAATAACATTTCTTAGTCTGATTTTTGTTTGTATTTTTTTATAAAGATAAAACAAGGGCGCGTATACTTGATTCACTTTAAAAAAAAAAAAGTAGTGCTATTTGTTTTTTCGAACGATACGTACGATTCTCCATAACGAAGCAAGCTTCGCGTACAATATACCTCATTTATATGTCTTTCTGCGTGCATATAAATCTTTTTCGACATGTGTGACGTTTTGAACAACCTTTCGTTTTGTACTGGATCTATTCAAAGAATTTCAATTTAATTATTTCTGTGAAATCAAACGCCGTAAGTGTAACGGCGCGCATAACACTCGAGAATGAAAGAGAGTAAAATCGAAGAGTCATTAAAATCCCTCCTTCGAATGGCCAATGTCACTTTCACGGCCTCGTGTTTCGCTACTGATGACCGTAAGATGATGAGAATTTGTGCAAACGAGACGTTTCATTACGATAAATGCCAAAATCAATAAAGGCACAACATCACTCTTTGACTAGTTCAATTTCCACCCTATTTTTCTTCTATTCTTTTAATTTTCCCCTCCTCTCTTCATTCACGGCTATATAAAATACTTCTTCAAGTATTAATGATTCTACACTACGGCGAAATACATCGCGTTGTGGAGCCATTACTATCGGTACGTAAGAGTGCCATTAAGTGTCTCCCTCTCCAAGTCACTTATCCTCCACGACTGCTTTTGCCTCTTCCTCTACTCCTGGCTTCCTGGTCCCTCTCTCATATCCTCCAGCCGTCGTCAGGTAAGCAACGTATGCGACGTTCAGGTATACATCGTGGATGTTGGCAGGATTTTGTAGGTGGTTGCTAGTGACCGGCTTCTCGTTTACCAGTGTGGGGATAACTGGAGCTTCGGCTTAAGTCAAGTGTATCACATCGGGACGAAGTAGTACACTGTTTCGTTGCAAAGTGCGTGCACCGGGTACCCGCATATACGTCGATCATCGAGAACATAGATCCCGGATCGCAGAGCTTTGAGAAGAGCGGAAATTCATCGACCGGATAACACGAAAGAAAACCTCTCATTTCAGCAACGCTCTTGCTGATTGATGAGTTAACGGCAGAAGATATGCGACTCTACGCTGTGAGTTATATTAACTTTTGCTTTTTTCCTATCTGTCTCGTTTATGATATTAACCGACAGATCGAACTCATTGTTTATTCCGGATATTTTTAATATAAAAAGATGGCCCAAAAATCAGTTACTGCTTCGAATCCCCTAAGATACAGTTTACAATAATTTCAAACATTCATTATCTATAAAAAAAAGGAAAAAAATCGTCATGAATTTTTAACAGTTCGATAATCGACCTTCGGGCCATCTTGTATAAATAAATATGATAACGAAAGGAACAATTTTTGATAAAAGCATTTCCATGTATTACATGATTTATCGTTTCCATACTTATATTTTTTTATTATTATTGAAATATTATTGTTGAGTTTTTATTATTATTACTATTATTATAGAAATAATACGTTATTATGTTATTGAATATTCAATAATATATTTTTATACATTTATACATATTATGTAATTATTATTAATATTTTTACTTACGAGACAAATCGCTATTATTCTTTACAGGTTGCACTTGTTATATGGACGGCAATCGTAACAACGTCCTCAGAATCTAACGTCGCGGATTTTAGCGACGAAAAGGTAAATTCGAAGAATTTAGTACTGCATAATAAAAAAAAAAGAAAAATTTAATAAGACAAATATTAATTAAACGAAAATCATATAAATCATCATAAAAATCATACAAACATGTACATACGGCTCATCAGTGGCAACTTTTCACGAGTGTAATATTCGTCTGAGGAAATCCTAATATAGAACGGAGAAAGTGATGTCGCAAATGATCAAAACGCGCGGTCCAAATATTCTTTCCTTCTTTCACTCCGATTCACATGCGATTAAAAGCAAGTCCTAGAGCTTTGACGAATCGACAAACATCCTTAACCTTGAAATATAGAAATCTTTAACCTCGATCTACTTGCGGCGCGTCATTCAAGTGCTACTTTACGTATAGGCGCGACGGACCCGAGATGAATTATAGCTGGCGTAAACCGGGATGAATGCCGTATAGTTTAGTGAAACAGAAAGAAAAAAAAACAGAATTTTCCATTTCCATCATACACACTGGACATTTTCTTATCGAGCATTTATTCGCTTTCCCCGCTAGGAATTCGTCGGTAAGAGGAACAAATAATGCGGAAATTTGTGTCTTCTGCACTTTATAACATATTATGAAGTTGTCGTTGTTTTTTTTTCAAGCGAAATCGATTAGAAAAATCTATCAAAGATTCTAGTGAAATGGAAAATCAAAATATCATTACATTTTACAGTAAATCGCCATTCATCAGCAATTTGAAAGTGAACGATCTCTTATAGTAACGTGAAAGTTGTTGAATTTTGCTCTCAAGCAAAATAACGACATTCAGCGTCGATTAAACGGCAAAAATGCGCGATACGTGTGTACAGATGCGAGTTGCGTGAGCGAACGGATTAATAGCGTGCATTAGTTCAAGCGTACCCGGGTGAAATGAATACAAAGTTATTGTATAAATGCCGAGACTGTAGAGTGTTCGTTGTCATGGACAAGGTAAAACGCGACAACAACAGCGGCGAAGCGCCAAACGGGTCGGGTATATGTTTTCTTCATCGCGTTAAAAGGAAACTCGTCAGTGAAAGTGGCCACACACGGACGTGAATTCGTTCCCCCGATAGGATACCGTTGTTCCGATAAAATGCATTGCCGCACGCGTGAGCACACACACACACACACACACGCGTTATCCAATGTCACGCAAATTTGCGAGAAACGAATTGACTGACCAGTGATGTGTGTAATTGAACACTGTAGGAGATTCGATTAAAAATCAATACTGCCCCTCGTTGCTATTCGTTTTAAAGTGTTTTTTTTCTTTTTACACACGTTATACGTATTTCCGAGCGGTGGTCGTGATTACATCTTGATTTATTCGTAATGTTCACGTATCCATGCACAAAAATTCGTTATATGCTCAAGCACTTGCCGGTTTTTGCAGTTCATAGGGAATATCATTCAAAGCAGACCAAATATCAGTAGAAATGCAAAAGAGACTTAAATATCGAGGAAAATAGGAAAAAAAGAAGGAATTAAAAGGGATCATGATAATATTATTCTCTTAGAAAAAAGTGAGAATCCACTAGCGGCTGTCCGTGAGAATTTACTTATTGGAAGATCTTTAATCTCTTCATATACAAATTCATTAAAGTCTGAAGGATATGATCTAATTTTGAGACAACATAAATGCGATACGTCTGTCGATTGTACAATAAGATTTCTCTTCTCTTTCTTCCTCTTTTTTGTTGGAGAATGTTTAACATTTATTCGCAATAATATTTGTTATATTTTTGCAAACAGTGTTATGTAAAAAAAAAACTTAATGCATTTGAATGTACGCACAAGCGTCAGAAAAGTTTAATGGATTTCGCTAAACTTTTTTTAAGAGTAAACGAAAGACAAAATATCTTATTTCCTATAAAATTTCACTCTACATTTAACGAACAAGGTTAAAAACATATCAGATTTTGTTAAAAAGAAAAAAAAGAGGGCGGGGGAAGAAAAAGAATTAAAACTCCAAGCACGAAGGGAAAGTAAAGGGCAAGTCGATGAATGAATCGAGGCGACACGTACCCCGCGCGTCTCTTCGAGCTGTCCGCTTCGTTCTCGCTGGACCATCGGGATTTATGTGACTCTCACTGGTTTTTCTTTTGCGTAAATGCGGTTCAAGAATGCGACGCATCTTTCCCGTTTCTCCTTTCTTCTTCTCCTACTCGAACGGCACGGGAGAAAGGGAGATCGGTGTCGGTACCGTGACTGCACCTTTCTCTCACCTTGCAAGTATGGCCAGATCGGCCAGATGCGTTATTTCGAACGTCCGTTGCTGCCGATCTCCCCGAGAAGCGGAGAAGTAGAAACGGCCGCCACCATCGCGGTAGTCGGGCGAGATTACGACGAGAAAAGATAGGAGAATTCTTTTTAATGGGTGTGTCCGCTCAATACAGCGAGCACTTTACATCGATAGCCGACTGATTTCCCCTGATAATGACAAATACTTGTCCAACAAACTATCGCGAAACATTCCTCCGAAAAACTAAGCGGTGGCACAGTTCAAATTTTTGAACCTCTCTATCCTGAACGAAACTCGCGGTAGAGCGAATTTACTTGCAAAGTAGAACACGTGGCTGGCAGACTTTGCTAGCTAGTTTTTCACTCGTGGAGATACGATGACACTGTTATCTCGGAGCAATCAGAACAACACGTCTGTCGGCGCTCTTCTTCTCTGCAAAATCTTCTGGGTCATTGCGTTTTGCTCCGTTTGGAAATCCATAACGTTCAGAAACAGTCGAGTGTTTTGTTTTCTTGTCAGGTCGACAGATATAAACATAGGGATCTCACAGAAAGAGTTGAAAAAGATTGAATAAGTAAGTTCAGGCGGGATAGAAAGAAAAGAAGAAAATGCTTGTTCAACGAGTATTCCAGATATCCTATAGTTCATTTTGTTTAGCATTTATAAATTTGTCGAATCAACAAATCTATTTTTTTTCCATGCGGCTGCGCTGATATGTCGTGCGATTTTTCCAGGCTGTCGAATTTCGTGATTCGCTGGTGAAGCAAATAGCGCAGCCTTACGTGACGCGCAGCATAAAGAAAAGAAGCATTGAACAGATCGGCATCGAGGACCGTTCGAGCGACAGTCCCACTGAATTAAGTAGATCAGTGACTTGCGCGGAGAGTACGAGCGGATCGAATGGCGTTTCCACGATCGATCCCGCCTCGTCGGGAGAATCGGTTTACGCTCAGACACCGCTCACCGAGACGACCGACAGATACTCGTTTCGAGAGCGGCCCGGCGACGGATACGCGATACCCGAAGAGGACGTGCTCCTCGTAGAAAGCGCTTTCGGACAGAGAGTTCCACCGGATGAACGGATAATCGCCGGACGGTTCAAAACGAACAACGACCGACCAAGTGGCGACTATATGAGTTTCCGGAAGACTATCATCGCCGTTTCGCCCTTTAAAGAGGAAAATAACCAGAAGAAGATCCATGTGCCGAGCACTCGGAAACCTTCAGTGCTCGCATTGAGAAAGAAAAGCGATTCGTCCGACAATTCTAAAGATCCTAAGAAAATTACCGGACCGAAGAATCTCGGTGGAAACCCACACCTCAGGAACTCGACGGAGGGCTCGTCGAACGGCACTTCAGTCCTCGAAAACGACATCGTGTTCGAGTATCTCCCGGACCCGCAAATCCGCTCGTCACGAGCGCATAACGAGGATACATCGAAACAAGTTGAAGTAATGCCTACCGAGAAGTCGGGAAACGCCGTGACGTCAATATCCGTAGAGATCAGCCCCTCGTTACAGCTAACCAAGTTCTCGGGTCCCATCGTGGTAGCCGACTTACCCGCGCGGAAGGCTCAAGACTCGACAGTTGATTATACGGACGGGAGTAGTCCGTCAGAAGCGTTCATACAGCTAGAGGATATCGGAGCTCCGGAGATCAACACCAGAAGTTCCAAGACGGCAGCTTCCAATAGTATAACGGTTTCTTCGCTCATGCTGAAACCTTTGCAGGTCGGTATTACTCTAGTGAACGAGGCTGACGAGCTTTCCGCCGCGACAGAAACGAAGGACTACTTCCGGGAGGATTTACAGCAACGTTTAGTGGGACTCGTCGAGAACAATGGGAACCACTCGACTGTCAGGTATAAAGACGAGAATGTTCAACACAACGAAGGAGAAAGAGCAATCGAGGTCGTTACGCAAAAGCCGCCGGATAATTCCGTCGAGATTCAAAAGTCCGTCGAGCTGTATCACACCGCGCCGGTACATGAGATCCATTATCCCGTGGAATACATCCAGCAGACCGCGCATCTCGGTGTCATCGAGACGAACAGCATCGGGAACGCACAGAGATTGAGACAGCCGTACGATCAAGACGGGCGCTTGGAATCGCGATTAAATTATGACGCTTACCAAGGTATAATTATAAGAAAAACAAACTCGCAAATTGAGCCTTAGAATTTTAGATATAAATAGAGAAGCATTAACGAAAAGATCGATTTGATGGGCTATCACATAATGCCAGCTATTTTATTTATCGATTAAGACGATTAAAAAGATCTCAGATAAAAAAAAAATGACGTCAAAGTGATAGGAAAATGATCGAGAGCTGTTTTGAAATGAGTTTTTTTATCATCATTTTCACGTCATTTTGACGTCATTCTTACATGATTTTCTGTTTCACCTAGGATATGAGTTATAATTTGACATATAATTTTAGCGTATAGGCCGTAAACGAAAATCTACAAATTATAGGGAAAGTATTCTTACTCAGACTAATTATAGAGTTAATTAAATCTCAGCAACAGCTAACCTTTCTTCCTTATTTTCCTCCAGGTAGTATGTGGCCTGTTTGCTCCAAATATCCACGCGAATGAGATTTCGGTATTATTCTCTAATAATACTTCTCTGTTTGTTGATCTCATTCGATTTTCATTCGACTCGATTGCAGCGAAATTGCCAACATCAATTTTCACTTATGCGTAACTCTCTTATGCAACAACACTTGGAAATTTGATAATTTTTATTTATTTCGACAAAATATGAACATTCATACAGACTAGCGATAGCGATTGTCACACGACAGTTAAAATAATCACGGTGTTTGTCATTCTGAGATTGAGTTCTTCTTATCGGATATTTTTTCTCGATAAAAATATACCAAGTTCTCAATAATCGGGTGTGTCAAAGAAAGCCTCTACTTTCACGATATTAGGAGAAAAACTCAAATTAACATTCGCGGTATTACCGGTCTAATGCTCACCGTATGCGAGTAATACCGCGGTTCGTCATGATCGAAGTATTAACTACAAATTGCTGATTTTCACCCGGCGAGCAAAGGAATGCGGCAGACAATATGTTGATATTGCCGACTTCCGTCCTTTTTGCAGGTAACAACGAGAAGCCCGTCATCAAGGGGCACGCGGCTTCCGCGTACAACCGGCAAGAGTACAATGTTCTCGAGGATGATGTCGGCAAACCGGAGTACTCAGCGAGTAATCAACCACCCGTTGACAGCAGCCTTAAGACGCCGTTGCGATATGAGGAAGCGAGGCCTGAGTTGTTGCTCGTGAATCAGTTCGACAAGACGTTGTATGAGCAATCGTCCAACGCACGTCACATCCTGAACAATATGGACAACAACGCGACTCTGCGCTATAAGCTCGCCGAGAATCCCACAAGACACGAAGTAACGGACGAGTTCGTGAAACCGTACGCAACAACGGCTGTATCGTATCAGGAACCGCCATCGGTGATCAGTCACCCGGTCCAATCGGAAGCGAGAAGACCGCAAGAACAGCTCCTTCTCAAAATTATTCCGAACGGGGCATCGGTGGATGCGGGATTCTTAGTGCCGATCCCGCGGCCGATCGAGAAGGTTGTCCGTGTGCCGGTTCAGATGGAGAAGGTGATCGAGAAGAAGGTGCAAATACCGTATCCTGTGCCGGTCGACCGGCTGGTGGAGAAGCAAATCCGTGTGCCGCATCTCTATCCGATCCACAGCGTGATCGAGAAGAGGGTACCGTACATGGTGCAACGACTGCAACCTCCGTCGCCACTGCACTTCAGGTCTCCCATGATTTATTCGATCGAACGACCGGTGCATGCGGCGATCGAGCGACCATCGTTGGAACAATTAGCGCAGGGGATCGAGAAGAGCGTGGAGAAACCGGTAGTCGTATCGTCACGACCTCCTCGTACGGACGGTTCGGTTGAGACAAAACACAAGTATCAACAAAGACCGCAGATTTTTGCCGATGAGGATCTCAGCTACGACATCGAATCGAACGCCTCACAATTTTACGGCGATCCCTACGCTAAGCTCCCGTCCGGTTCATACGGGCAGCTCGACGACGGCGGCGATAAGTATCACGTTCCCGCAGCGACGCATTTACCAAACAACATGCGGCTGATGATAGTGCCAAAAAAGTTTGCTGCTCAGCATACGGTGTTGCTGCGATCGTCGCCGTCATACGCGATGTTACCGGTATCCTTCAGACGGCAAATCGTCTACAATCTCGTGGAGAAAGACAATGTAATTAAAAACATAGGCTCGCTATCGCCACGCAAGGCCTTGGTCTCGCAGGTAAAACCGCTTTTTCCGGTCGTGAAACCAAGCCTGTTCTCCACGAGTGTCACTCAGTCACCGACAACGACTACCATCGGCGGTTTGAGGAGAACCAGACAACCGGGACAGTATGCCGGGAGTTTTAGGCAGTCGAAGATGGAATACGGTTTCAAACCACCCATGGTGCCGTCCGTTCAATACGACGAAAAAACCGCCAGTAAAGTTGAGAAGTAACGCGACGATAAGGATTTATTAATGCTGATACTTATAATAGTGCAAGAGCGAGTTTAGAAATGCATGGAAAGACATTTTATTAGATGATAAATGATAAAATGCATTTTTTTTCAGGAATTGTTTTCGTTGTTTCATTATTTAAGGTATATCTATTATTGAAAATTTTGCTACCAGCATTTGCTGTGTTTCTTCAATTTATTTTAGGAAAGGACTCTAAATTGTTTTGTGGTTTACGTTTTGTGGTGTTACGTTTTTTTTCCTTCTTCATGTTTTAGAATAAAACACCACGTATACGTGTCTCTTGTATTTTATAATGAATTATCTCTTGTAAGTCTGATATTATTTTCTTACGGTTAAAAAAAAATGATAATAATAATAGAAAATCGAGATATATAACTTATAAGTATTGTAACATACATCCAAATTTTTAATGAAATGTAGATTATTAAGCGCAATTAGAAATACAATATTTGATATTCCACTGACAATACGTGCGACAAAATAATTACAATAACAAAATGTTTAAATGCAAGTATGTATAAATTTTGTACAATACATATTTTCTATTTTCATACATCCTCGTTTATTTACCTTTTCTTTTTCTAATCCTTATGCTGGCAATTGTTATTTACCATCCGCGATAAGTCAAGGTTCATGTCTCGTTTTATTTTTATACCAGTGTCTGACCTGTATTTATCGATGTTATTTGAAACTTGCCTTACGTGAGATATTAAAAAAAAAAGCGTATAGATATTTAAAAAAAATTAAACAATTAATACAATGATAAAGTAAAATGAAACAACAATGATAATAATAAAAAAAATAAAAGTGTATAAATTAATAAGTGATAATAACTTTGTGTTATCATATATGGATATCATGCCTGCAGTAGATACACAAAAGTACAACGATATTAGAAGGCTCACGAAACTCAGTTACCGACACGGTTGTTAAATAGTATGTGAAAAATAAAAGAATTATTTTGCATATAAATCGGCCGCATCGGCAATACTTATTGTACAGAATACAAATAAAAATTGAATCACGGTGCATTGATATAATGCAAAATGATTAATATCATATCGAGAGACATTTGCGAATGTTTGCAAAGTGGCTTTTGAAATTTAAATAAACGAGAAATATAACCTACCTAACTTTTGAATTTAAAACGAGAAATATGAGTGCAACTCTCGCAGCGGGAGAACAACACCGTATGGTACATTTTTTTCCCACCTTATCTGACTTTTCGTTACGTACTCGCTGACCAGCCATGCATCTTCAATTTGCGGTAGAATTTAGTAACACACTCTCGTATCTCGAGAGCATCGTTGCATATCATTCAGCGAACTGTAGCGCGATTTTCCGTAATACAAATGTCAACGAATCGAAACTCGGTATTTGACTCGTTAAAAAGTGCGATAAACAGTCTCTAACGTAGCATAATGACTGAATAACCTATGCGAGCCGCACAAAATGTCTCACGTTTCGCGTATCAAACTGTTTTTCTACGCTGGCAACAGTATCAATAATTAATAATTAAAAAAAAAACAAGGATATATCTTAACAGGAAATGGATAAAGTGTTTTGCTTATTTTCTTGCTCTTAAAGGGATGATATACTCGAAAATTTAACCGGCAAAATACTGACTTCTTTCTGTAAACCGCATTGATTGCACAATTAAATATGGCAAAACAGAGTAGCATATTTCATTCACATTTATATCGCACTAACATTTATGTAAGACCTATATGGAACAAACAGAATAACGTCAGTGTTTATGATATTTTGAGGATTGCCTCTACGTTATCGATCAAATTCGAGCATCCCCTTAAGATGTACCTATTATTGGAAATTTTTTGCTTCCATCACTGAATCAGTATCTATTTCTTGCTTCTCTTATTTCATTTAAATCGTTTCGCAGTTTACAATAGCATTGATATTTTTTATATTCTACAACAAAATGCGCTATATTAATACACATTTGCCTTTTGTACCTTATAACGAGTTATCCGGTATTTAATATTATTTATAGAACGCCGATAAAGAACGATGAGAATCAATTGTTCTCTTAATTCTGAACGATTTGCCCGTATAGTGCTTTTCGCAGCATTCAATCGCAGCTATTTGAACATCGTCGTTACGGAGAAGTAGATGGATTCGCAAGCGTGGCCCAATGAATAGATCGGTGGTGGACGCTGATGAGGGAAGGATTGCGTGGCCGTCGGCGTTGCGTTACGAAACGAATTATCCGCCGTTAAGTAATCATAGGTAAGAAGAGCAAATAGCGTCAAATTTAAATCAGATTGTATCATCGCGTACGGAATTGCTGACTGGCCCGGTTCTTTGCGGCCGCGAGTGTAGAAAGCAAGCGCATCACTTAGGAAAGCCGAGTTAAGTATCCAGTGCCGTCGCGTGAGCCTCAACGAGATGACTATCGCTCGCGAAACATATCCCACATTTGACCATCGAAGAGTTGGCGATATTTTATATGATGGTCGAACACTAAAGGAGTTGCGATAATGTAAAAACACACGTGTATCTTTCGATATGTCGTCTTTATTGTAAAACGTGTTCACGGCGGCCAGCCGGTGTATTAAACGCAATTCACCACATAACACACCGTCGACTCTCCGACTGATTGATGCATTGTTTCGTCAACGTACGGCGTCATTAAAAATAAATAAATTTCCTCGAAATTTGCCAATGTATTAGAGAACTATTAGTCGAACTTGGTGTTCCCGATCTGGCCTTTACTATCCTTTATTAAATCGATGGCCGTGCAAGGCAATTCGGACGTTACGTAATGAAAAAATAGGCCGAATCGAAGAAAAGAATGTGGAATAACAAGAAAATCGCACGCGAGCAATTAATAAAAATAAGAAAATCTCACGATGAGAATCGGCTGGTATTAGTAATTTGGCGATCGGCTCACCAATGTTCAATGGGTCTGCCATCGAAAACCTTTCTTTCTTACACGTAGGTTTCTGCAATAGTAGTTAAAGTGAACAAGAAGTATGACCATAATTGGGTCTGCTGCGAAAGGGTTAACGCGCGGCGTTTGGGCCTTGCGCGACCCAACTACTACTTGATGTAACGAGCTACATTGCGGCATTAACATATCGTTACGATGGTTGGTGCAGGCGATATTAATATATTATGGAGGATGATGACACGCCGGGGTGCTTGCGTACAACGAGAAGTCCTTTCAAGGACACAGGATCGACGTGCGTATTCACTGAAAAGAAAAAAATGAAAGGTGAGACAGCATTATTAGTGACGCTCCAGATGATGCGCGACAACGACGACAACGTGGTGAGCACAACAAAGGAAATCGAAAGGCAGGATTTACGGAGCGACACGTTGAATAATCTCTCGTTGAATAATCAACACGCAATTGGCTCATTTTCAAAACAGGGACGACAGGGTTGACTTGTCCTCGCTATACGAGCATCTTTTCTTCGTCGCAGTTCCGATTCAAAGACTCAACCAAATATTTATAATATTGATCTTTAACAATCCTTTTGCAGAAACGAAAGTTTGCCAATACTTGTGTTAAATATGATGAAAATTAAGTAGTTGAGTATAATAAATGAGATAAAATATAATAAAAAACGTATATATAATATCTTGAACGTCGTCTCCCCCCCCCCCTCTCTCTTTATCTCTTCTTTTCAGAAGCAACCCCTGTTCGCAACAGCCTCCTCTCACGCGGTTCCGCACCTCTTTCGGTAGTTGCGGAAACGAGCTAGCGATCGCACTCATTCCCGTGGACCCGATCGTGGACCCGTGTGACGTCCGCCCGCTGGTCCTGCGGCTTAATTAAGTCTCAATTGCCTAATTAGTCCGCTCGAAGAAGGCAAGCAGCGGCGCGCCGCGCAGGCTGTCCCACGCGATGAAGTAATCAGCTTTCTCTGCGCGCGCGCGCGCGCGGCATAGACGCGTCGCCAATCCTCGGCTCCGCTCCGCTCGTCTTCACGCGTCCTCCGCTCCCTACATATATTCTCCTCTCCTTCGGCCCGAAATCGCGCACACCGCTGCGCCGGGGAACAATGGGAAATAAAGCGCGGTCTTTCCACATGCGCAATGTCCCTATGTGAACTGGAGTATACTCGGCCGCTTATACTTGTTGACGCGTCCGGAGGAATCTCCGCTGTTCCCTTCGCTCTCGTTCTGCGCCTCCTCTTCGACGTCGGCGGCGGTAGGAAACGTATCCTCTCCTCGTGGAGAGATAGAGAGAGCTCTCTATATAAGTACCGGTATGCGCGCCGAAACGTCACCATATTTCAGCATTCAGTCCTGTGTGCTTCCTCTTGACACGAGTGCGCCCGTCGTCTCGCATCACCGTAACCATCATCACCATCACCATCCACCCCCGCAAGATCACCACTCCTTGAGATTACATGGATTCGGTAGTGCGACAGGTAATGCGATTGTCGACGCCGCTATACGGGGATGATACCGAGCGACGGTACCGACTCGCGCGAATAGATCGAACAACCTCTGCGTTCAGTTATATCGATCTTTTCTCTCCGTCGAGAGGGAGACTCTCTCATCGTACTGCGGGTGTGTCTTTCTTTCGGGATGGATTTCTTCGTCGCGTCTGGACTGTGCTCATTGAACGACATTGAACGATGTAAGTTCCCACAAGTTACCGGCTAACAACGTTCGCGGTCGAAATAATGCCGGCTGTCGAATTGGAAATGTGAGAAAAGTAAAAGTATTTGGCATTATTTTTTCAATGTCTCGTGTATAGTTAAACCATAACATAAGAATTCGGAAAATTATCGAAGCTAAATGAGCGAGCATTTTTAATTTATATAGAATTTTACTAATCACACTACATATTATATCGTCTAATTATCACTCGTATTACTTGTAAAACTTTTATGTCTCACTCATGTGTATTTTTGTTGTATTACATTTCGGACGATATTAGATATTTTATAAAGTATTATCAGTAGTTGTTATTTTGATCGACAAACTTAAATTCAATAATCTCGTAGAGCAATAACCAGAGACTAGATTAATAAGACAACGGAACGACGTTAATAATATGAAATGCAGGAAAGATTATGCAGATTATGGTCTTTAATATGCAATATCACAAATGTTAGCAGCGATAATGTTCACTGACACCATCACAATAATGTTAATTTACACATTCGTTCGATGATACTAGGTTACTGTGGTTACATGTTAATTATTACACTCGTATATATCCGTCAGTAAAAGTTCAATTAATTAATTGATAACGTGAGATCCTGCCATTAAATTGGATTTTCGCACAATATTTCGACTGATTTATACTCACAGTACATTGTACTCATCGCGTGAAAAGATTAGTACGATTAGTAAAATGTACAAAGAGTTCAGACTTAAAAGCGGTCAGAATAATTTAATCAAATAGTAATTTTAGTTTCACTAAAGTGAAATCCAAAGATCGACAGACACAGTCGTTAATGATAATACATTTGTGTGAAATTTAGTACGTTTCTCAAATTTATTAAATGAAACTTCACGAAAGATGCGACAAACGTTTCTCGCCAAGCAATTACATTTTCGTGAAAATCTGCGGTATCATAATGCTCGAACGTTGTAACATCGCGCAAAACGTTATACGCGAGATTTAATCTCCCCTCATATACCCATGCATTAGTCTCGAAGTAGCCACTTAATTGTCTGAAAAAATCGTGCGTACGAGAGATGTTTTCCCGCGGAAAAGTCACGGATTACGTGCTTAAGAGATCTCTGATTCTTTTACTGTTATGTTTAGTCTTGCGTCAGTTTTTAAAGTGTCAGTGATGTAATATCGTGCACTTTCTCACGATACGGTAGAAACGAGAGGAAAAGATAGAGATGCGTGACTCTAATTTCCCGCCTACGCAACGTGCGCGCGCGTTGTTGTTGATCATCTGGCGGTCTCATCTAATGCGTGAAAAGCACGCCTGGGAATCCATCGGAAATATTTTAGGATCTAATTATATCAGTTCCCGTTAAGAGATCGTGTACTTCTCGTAGATCGCCCGTTTATTTATTTTCATTGTATATTTAATGCATGAAATACATTATCACTGCGTGTCTACTCGCTGCAAAAATAAATTTCTCATGTCCCGTCTTGTTCGGCATAAGTTAACAAGTTTAATGCCATGAAGCGGTGGCTGATACTACCGTATTTTATTAACACCTTCTCTACAACGTTTTATATGTGTGTCGCAACGATCTCTCATGAGAGATGACTAGCGTCACATAGGTGTGACAGTAAAAATTTGTTTTTTCTCTATATCCACTTTATCAAACTAAATCCGTTTTACATAACTGCGTAATGAAAAAAAAAAGATACGATTCATACAGCGCAGATTTTATCCGAGGAACGTCCTAAGGGTGTTTTCAGGATGTCTCTCGGATAAAATGCGCTGGGAAGAGATGGTCCTGCAAATAAACCCTGGTAGCAAACGTATTAAGTCACTTATGAAGCATATTTAATTGCATGTGAAAAATTGCTCGTATAGCTAAAAGAGAGAGAGAGGGAGAGAGAGAGAAATTTAATAAAACAAAATAAAAGTTATACTAAGAAAATATAAAAGTATACTAAGAAAAATCGGAAGAAGATAACTAAGTTTCAGAAATACGCAAATTTTGTTGCTGCCAAATTGCAATCGAGTCAAGTTGAATAAAAATTGAGTCATATCAACGATCTAACATAAAAGTTTGAATTATAAAATTTAATCAACAGTATAAGTTAATGAAACTGAAATATAATTTTATGTAAGATATTCTTCTCAATTACTAAAAAATTGATCTGATTATATAATACGAGCAACTCTGGTTGAAAGATCAATTAAAAAATTATATGATAAATAATATAATCAATAACGTGTTGGATTAGTGATCGTTAGATTTATGATCGTCTCGTTGAACAAAATTTTGAGCTATTGTTTTACACAAACAAAAAATTGAAAAAATGCCAAAATTTTGCTGAAAGAATTAATTGATTCGCCGTACGCAATCCTAAAATCGAATTTGTTTAACATGATTCAAGTTATTCTGAGTGATACTTTTTCATGCGTCTCGAATTATGTTTAATTCATCGTACTTTTGTTAATTCGATCGTCAATAAAGCTTTTGCACAATCAATGGAAATCAACACCGCAGTCAACAATGTCTTAACGAAGAACATAGGAATTTGAACTACATAAAATTGAATCAATAGTATAAAATTAACGAAATATAATTGTATGTATGTTCTTTTCATCTATTAAAAAGATAGTCTAATAGTATAATATAAACAATTTTAGCTGAAGAATCGACTAAATCAGATGACAAATATAGAGTCAGCGTTATGAACAGAATTCAATCTTTGTCGATGTATCTTAATCTCTTATACTCTTATGACAGGTATTGTTCGCCCTAATAGCGAGCATCAGCCTCGTGCATTGCGAACCACCCCTCAACAATCAGTATGGAGTTCCGGGCAATTTCGCAGGTGGAAGTCATCATAGCGGTGTACAGGGTGGTGGGAACGGATTCGGGGGCCATTATGATGGACACGATAGTCAGGATTACATAGATAATGAGGTATTTGTCGTACGTACACATACGAAGTTAAGCAACCTTCGGTGCAAAGTCGCACGCATGATCGAAGATAATGCATACAGTTAGCCCCCGTACTCCGTTACGCTATAATTCCCATCACAACTTCACTGCCACCTATGCCTACCTACGTAATTATCATTTTGCGAATCAAGTCCGATTCTTCTGTAGCGATAATTAACTACAGATGGAATAGTTTTTTACAAGTTGTTAAACGCGACGTTGCATTTGCTCGATTGGAAATTCGCGCGATCTGAGATAACGTGAGATCAGGCTCGTCTTCGATCTTCATTAGTTGAGCTATGCCTTCCTCAATAGGATTTGAAATTGCACCAGCAATAATTAAGCCGTTTGTTTGTTATGCGGATTTTTTTCTCCTATTATGGACAAATTACTCTAAAATGATAATAATCAAGACGGCAGATATTTTTTTCTCGCGTTTTCGATTAAACTTTTGAGTTCGTAATTTTGTGAAATCCGAGGTGACTCACGATCACTCAAAATTTCATAGCCGATTTTGGTCGCGAGCCAATGTAGAATACATCGGCAGAAAAAAAAAATGTATTACATCATTGGAACAGACGCCTCCTTTGTTCGAGGAATTCAATGTTACTTTCTATAAATCGAGATCCCTACTTTGAATCTCCCTGCAATACCGGTCCATTTCCGACGGTTCTTGCGAGAAACGGACACTCCCGAGGTCAGAATTGAACGTTGTAAATCTCGGATCGTGTTCTGGAAGTAACATTGAACGGCTGACCCGGTTGCATAAATCGAAGAAGCGTGCTCTGAACTGCTCCACCTGAATGATTTTTTTGTTAGGTAGTTTTAATATAGACCGCCAATATATTTCGATGTTGTGTCACGGTTTTATATCCTTTTACGATCCGAAGTTAAGTAACTCAATTCGCGTCGTGCACACGCACGAAGATAAATACAGCGAATGAGATGAGACGTGGCTTTCGGAACAATTAGCTCATTGTTAATTTCCTCCCTCGACATACACGTGATTAGAGGGGAAAATAATCTTTTTCTTCCTCTCTTTCTCATATGAACAAATCATCGTTTTACACGACGCACACCTTGTTACACAAACCGAGTCGGAGTTAGTTAATCTGTCAAATTCTAATCCCTAATCCGCATTATAGTCTGATGCGGTCTCCAACGCGACCCCTCGATTTGCAGCCTCTCGCGTGAAACTGACGTTTTTTCCGTTTCTTCCAGCCTAAGGCATACGAGTTCGGATACTCTGTCAAGGACCAAGCCACTGGGAACGACTTTGGCAGGCGGGAGTCGAGCGACGGCGAAACCGTGCGCGGTGAATACAGAGTGCAGCTGCCGGATGGTAGAACGCAAATCGTCACTTATACCGCAGACTGGAGGACCGGTTTCCACGCCGACGTCAGGTACGAGGGTACCGCGACTTACCAGGATCAGTACAATCAGCAGAATGGCGACTATAATAATGCCGGGCAAGGCTACCAGGGGAGCAACGGTTACGCCGGAGGTATGCGTTTCAACGAAGTTACTTTCTCAAAATAATTCGTCGAAAGAAAAAATCACTCGCTCATTACTCTTATCATTTTTTGAAAAGTAATTCGTTATCGTTAATCAAAAAGAATCCTTATAATATCCGTTATTTTTTCTCACTAAATTTTGAGGATCCATCTTCACCCCTGCTGATTCCATACATGTACATGTTCCGCCTGTACGGATAAGTGACGATTACATCTTCGTATTACTCAAAGAATGTAATTGCGTTATCTAACAGCAAATTCAAAGTTCAATGTACTGATATCTGTCGCTAAGTACAACAACTACCAATGTGATGTAAATTGGGCCACTCTGAACAAAAAAGTCCTAACAAACTTTTCAGTTATTAATTAAAGAAACCTGTATATAGGGCCATTTTCAATAATTGATAACTGAAATGTTTGCGTGGTTGTTTGCAAAATGGTAGAAGACTTTTCTACTCAGTTTAATCCGTTCTACCTTCAGACGAGCGCTTGTACGAAACATACACCCTATGTATATATTTCTTTTTCTTCTATAATTCTTCTATAATTTTTCTATCGTCTCAATATTCTGACAGGAAACCAAGGTGGCTACAACTACCAGTCAGGTGGCGGACATTATAATAACAACTACAATTATCAGTCGGGCTCCAATGCTGTAGATAGTTATAATAATTTCGGCGCGAGGAACACTTACTCGGGAATACCGTCGCCCACGTACGGTCCTGCCTTCCATTAGAAATATGTAAAACAGTATTATAGGATTACACCGATTTTGCATGAGAACACTCGTCTGCCTTTTCTAAATAAAGATATCTTTTCATAAAAATGTCTATTGTGTGCATTACCTCGATCCCTATTTACCTCAGTTCCAGACCTTACTTAAACGTACTCATTATGTTGTTCAAACTGAAAAACTGCTGTTGTCGACTCGTTGTTCGATATAACAATTGAGTGTGATTTTTGTGGGACGTTCATTCGGCGACGAAAAATCATAGCGGCCGAAACATTGCGACTAATAATACATCACACTTCCGTTATAATTATATAGTCGGCGAAGAAGCATCTCGACGGTTATTCAGCCCTGAGGCATACAATATTCACTTATTTTGCAGATAATTCCAGAAAACAGCCGCTACCATATTTGTCTGTTTGCGAATATGCATCATGTGTCTATATGGCCGCGATGAGATAAATTTCATTTGAAAAGCTTATAGTTAGCTTCATTTCACACTCGCCGAGGTCGTTTGTAACTTAAACAAAAGAACCGTGTGCTGTCTCAAATTCGAAATATACCTTGAATTTTAGTCTTACGTCAATTGAATTAACTTAGCTATAATTTCCACATTAAGAGAACGATTTTCAAAGCGTAACGAATAATCATTCGCAAAAGTAGACAAAAGATACACGCTAGCGTTTTTCTCTCTTATTGTATCAAGTTCAGCGCTTGGATTGCCCGTAAGAACATCGTCAGATGTTTTGTATTATGTCATCGGGAAATTTACGTAGCACACGTCCGCGGAGATCAACTTTCCCCAGCGTATGTAACATCCAGATTGCACACTGTAAATTTCATTAAATCGCGAACACACATCGCCGCACGTATAAAAAAATACCCGTCATTATGAATATATCACTGTAAAGCGACGTTAATGGCAGCTAATAAGAAAGTGTGAGACGAGTCGCGAAACTAGTTTATTTCACTTACATTCAAGATTATCTGTACAGTAAAGAAATAGTTTGTGCTAAAATGGTCCTCAAAATCCTCGTTACCATTTTTGTGTTAAATTTGTAACATATCTGTGTTAATGTAACATCGTATTTATTTGTATTAATTTAATATCGTATTTATGTTATTTCAATATTTTATGTTAGGTCGATGTTTAACATGTTTAACCAGTTAATTTGTTTTTGACGAGTATACTCGTCGTGAAAAAAGTACAAAATTTTAACCTTAAATTGCCATACCTTAAATTGCCGCGAAAATTTTGTACTTTTTTCATGACGAGTATACTCGTCAAAAGCAGTTAACTGGTTAAGTGTTAAAATAACACACTTTGTACTTTAGTATCGATTAACAAATTATGAATGAAAATTTTACTAAATATTGACATATTTGATATATTAAATTTATAGACAAATCGTTAATTACCCTCAATAATAGTTGTCATTTTTAAAGCTTAGGCAATACGAGGATCATTTGATAAGTCAGAAAATATATGAGACGCCACTAATATCAAACTGACAGGATGATGAATTATTTTCCTTAAATTATTTAATTAAAGCAACGATTGGGACAAGGCCCTCTCCTTTTAAGGCAACAGAAAAATTATTTGATCTTACAAATCCAATGTGTGAAATTAAACACAAAAAGAAAATCGGTGTACTAACGAAAAATTAAAACAAGAAAAAATTCACTCGAAGCGATAGTGAAAATATTGCTACTCGGAATCACAAAAGTGAATATTTAAATCGAACTTAACATGGCATTCATACGAATGAATGTTTCAGTCAATGTTCAAGTAAATTTGGTCCAGAGTAATACATCAAATTCACTCTTCATTTCAAGTGAAAATATCAACAATTCGAAGTAAGACAATTTATATTCCATGTAGTCACTTTACTTTCACGTGAAACTTTCAAGTAAGTTTATTCGAGAAAATTGCAAGAGCACCTTTTAAGCAACAATAATAAGTTATTTTTCGAAATGAGCATAACGGTAAGTTTTAAAAAAAGTAACTTTCCCAATCGTGAGATATACCTTGTGTAAACCCACCCACCTTCAGCATTCAAGTGCACAGTCTCGAGGATAGATGTTGCGAATCGCAGGTCAGTATATTTGGACACCTTCCTGCGCAATTCACCCTGACTCACTTCGCACAAGTGGCATCTCACTTTTTTGAAAGGTAACATAGCCGGATCAAAGACCCTCCCGTCGAAGGCCCGACGAAGAATAACGACGAGCGCGCTCGCGCATACAGATACGTACATGTGTAACATACGACGAACCTTCCGCATCGCACGAAATATTACATAATGCCATTTATCCCCGATTACAGAGCAAATGGCGCGGAGCCTTCACTCGGATGAGTTACGCGGCCACCTATCTGTACTACGTGCGATTCTACCTATCGATATTGCACGTCGAAAATAGTAATTAATAGTAATTTCACTGGGATTAATTAAGCATCTCCAATCGTCACGGCATATCAACGAATTGCGTATCGACATGTTATTACGCGATATTAATCGAGCAAAAAATCGTGAGAGAAGCTTAACACAATATCGGAAGTTTTGTTTATAGCTCAGGTCCTTCCCTACAATCGTTTTGTTTGACGAAAACTTTCCTTTCGCTCTAACAATAAAAAAAAACAACTAAAATTAATACGGCATTCCTTTTCAGCCTACCTTTTTTCATAATTTTGTCGTGTTAATTTTATAGTTATTTATTGATTATTAAAATAGGAGAATTTTGGAAAAATGTGCAAGTGTGCTCAATCGAACGTCATTTTATGGATGTATCCTTTTATTTCAACGTATTCCGCAAGAATTTCAGCCTTAAGAGTTTTCTGACGTCATTTAATCAAGATGCTTGCGAGAAAAGGAACTGAGAAACTGACAAAGAATATATTCTCGATAACGCGGCTTATATATTTTTTCTCACTCACAGATAATTAGTAGCAGTACTCGTACAAAGCGTGAGATTTTAACGTGACCGAAGAAATGATTTCGCTACGTAAAATCGTTAACGACGCGCGCAAGTAGGCTCAGACGATCGTGATGAATGAAGAGATGGCCCACGCACACGTCGGAATCTGACGAAACAGCCGATTAATGCTGTGATCGAATTAACCATGCGTATCGAATTTATTTGATCGTTGTCCGGTCGTATGAAACAAGAAGAATAAAAAGCAAATTCCTCCTAATAATGCAGCGAGGATGGAAAAAGGTGAAATATAATCTAGGTTCTTAGGTTTTTACTTACGGTTGACGTAACGTAAAAAAAAAATACGAGATTGTTGAAGTATGCGGTGGTGAAAGGTCGTCGTGGATTTTTTTCAGCGATTACCCGCTATCACGTCGGCAAAATTCGCAATTTCAACGAAATTACCGACCGACCGCTTACATATTTGTTTTATGTGGTAATACACGGCCCCGAAATAACCTTCCATACGGATACTATCATTGTAATTACGAAGTTGTCGGAAAAGGTGCTTAAAGTTCGCAGTTAGCAAAGCCGACAGTTGGCCAATTACTCGTGCATGCACGCCGGGAGAGTAAATTAATATACACATTATATATAGTAAATATAATGTGTTATTAAATAATACAGCTCTAGCTAATTAATTATGCCCGCTTTCCTTTCTTTTTCCTCTTAATCCTTATTCTTTCTTCTTTAAAAACGGCATTCTCTTCCCTTTCTTTTATAACTCAATTTGATAGCCGATCAGAAGAATCATCAAGCGCACAAAAAGAAATTCCTCCAGCGCTGACATGTGATGTACATAGTTGATATAATATCTGCTGCGCGAGTGTGTGTTCTAAAAATTGTGTATAATCTTTATAAATACGGTAATATTCGCTAATCATTTTGTATTTTAGGTTCTATGTACGCAGAGCGTGCGTAAAATAGCGTGCTTACTGAATTCGTCTTCCTCGTATGTAGCAAGCTATAGAAAGAACGCCTCTGTAAAGATAATTATTTAATATTCCCTTGTTTCGTAATGGATCGTTCGGAGGAGGAAAACAAAGTAAATAGCCAAATGCAGGCATTCATGGTTGTATTTGCAACTGGTTTAAACTTCTTGCTTTCCTTCAATATTGACGTTACGGGCCGCGTTCAAGCAGCCTTATGGCCGAGTTGTGATTGATTTTGCAAGTAGATCCGGAAACAAAAGAAAACTGCATCACTTCGTTCGTCACTGGCGACGGAGCGCTAACTAACGAAGCGCTCAGAATGAATGATTGGTCGTTCGTTGTGCAACAAGTAGCAAAATTGACAGCGAATCGATATGAAAGTTCTGCCGGAGAATGTTTTTTGCCTCTTCGGTAGCTTCCGATGACCACCACTGTCTGCATATAAGAGATTGTTCAATGTTGAAATACGATAGTGAACGATATTATTATATTGAATGATTGAATTTTATTAACAGCGTCGTTTCGCCTGTTCTGATAAATATCGAAGAATCTATAAGTATAAGGTTATCAATAAAATGATTTGATAGAAAATACAGATAAGATTTTCAGATTAAACATAGTCCGATACCGTGCATAATTCGTTCACGGTTCGATCATTACACTGAAAAAAATTGGATAAAAAGAGCCAAGTTTAAGGAATTATGCGAATTTTCTCGCATACGGCTTATTCGCCAGATCTTGCCTTTACGGATTATCATCTATTCCGATCGCTTCAGTGGATCACTTGGCGGATTTCCCACTTTCAATCTGCCGAGGATATCAAAAAAAGCATCGATGACTTCACCGAGTCAAAGCCACTATCCTTTTACCGAAGCGGGATTCGCCCGAAAGATAGCAAAAGCGCGTGTAAAATAATGGGAACTATTTCGAAGGTTATTCGTTTTTTTTTTTGCAAATAAACATTAAGATCATGCTAAAAAGGCACCAAACTTATTTATACACCTAATAGTTCTTAATGTTGCGTACAACGTTATCATTAACAATACTTGACCATTAAAAATAATATATTTCTATACAATGATTTTAGAAATATTATATTATTAAGTAACAGTTTAGAAACATTTATAAAAAATATTATGTGAAAATGTTTATAAAATTCACATAAAATCAATGTTTCAAGGAATTAATTTCTTGCTTACTGAACATACCCATTCTTTTAATATGATTATGATCTTATTGCGCGCAAGTATCTGAACTATAAAACATTTACAAAAGTCTGAAATATATTCATATGCTATGCCGACAAATCGTACTCGAAGAGTTACGGGATATCGCGAATACATCTATTGAGATGTCTCCCAGAGTTCACGTAAAGTGACGTCGGATAAATTTGTTTGTAAAACGATTGCACAAGTCGTTGCAAGCATGCCGCTAAGTTTTATACACGCGCCGCTCGATATCTTTCCTGCAGATCGAACAGCGATCTCTCGCGATCTTACACGGGAGGTCGCGAAGACAGTGCGCCGGATGGATGGATCGGGTTTATATCCCACTCGGTCGCATCTTTCTTTGCACCACCACTCGTCCGACTACGGCCGGCTATTTCTTCATCCACCTTTCATTCGTAAGTACAACCCGGTAATTGGTTCGATACACTTCGGGCTCACGCGGATGAGATCAGCGTGTGCTCTGTGCCAAGAGCTATTTTTTTCATCGCGACGGCTCGAAAGTGCGACGAAACGATGAAGGCCGACTCGATCGATATCGACGGAGAAAATGTATCATCGAGGTAAATCGAAGAAAATCGTCGGCAGAGTAACGATCGTACAACTTGACAGCGGAAACATGAAAAGTTAAATGTTTCATATGTGATGAACTCAATGATTTTAGTAGATCATATAACTTTGCGAACTATAGAAATGTGAAACTTTTTGCCACTCTTAAAGTAGTTAGTCCAATACTGTTAACACGTTGACTGCCACGGGGGTCACCGGTGACCGGCGCTATGATGTTACCGCGTTTTATTAAATTACGTGTGACGTATAATTAATTAATTGCATCTACAAAATAGGTTGTACAGCCAGTAATGAGCTAATGAAACAAGCTAACCGATGCGTATCCTGAATTATATTTATTTACTGCAGCTTTAGTGATTTAATTGAATCAATTAGGCGTTTGTACGATCGACGGAAATCAGCGTGGCAGTCAACATGTTAACAAGATAATGTTTAATACAGATCAATGAATCTAAACGTTTATAAATGTGTTTTATGATATACAACTTTGACACTACAGCAAGAGAATATCAATCGAATTCAAATAATGTTTAAAATTCCAAAAAGAAATAATCATTTTTCGCGCTTTGCTCTACAACACTTTTAATCGGAACACTCTCTGTGTTAGACATATATATAGCATATATATCGATAAACCCGCACTGATATACATTATTAGAGAAATGATTTTTCTCTATTTCCCGCACTTTTACATATTGATTATAAATTTGTAAGTAATTTGTGTTTAACCGTTCTACCTTTAAAAATATATCCAAAAAATATATCCGAAAAAACACAAAGAGAAATATATAACAATTGTCAAATCTTTCCAGGTTAGCGGTGTCACATATTTATTAGAAACTGTGTACTTTACATATCAATTTTCGAAAAACTAGGCGAACTCAACAATCTTGTATTTCTACAAGTCTCTTTGATCGTCTTCTCGTTTTCCATTAAAACCGTAAAAGGGCAATTTGATCGTTTTCGTAAACACGTGACAAATAGTGCTGATTTCGACTTTAATAATCTCAGCTTCGGTCAATCTTTTTCTAATTGTACGTAGGTCATATTTCAATTAATGTTATTAAAATGTTGAAAAGAAAAACTATCTTAAGGAAAAATTACATCTCATCAAAATCGCCATCCAGATGCAGATCTTCCACAGTGAGGCGCCTGTGGCATATGCAATCACATTCTTATGTGCGCGCGTGCAACGCGTTGAATGCGCTCGCCGTCGCCACGTGCCTCAGGGATTCTCTTTTATCACGCGGCGCGCGATGTCGAAAATAAGTCCGCGGTGTAGGCTGATTGCTCAATCCGACGATGATTTGCGATAGTTTCGAGGAGCTCGCGCTCGTGCCTCACGTGGCACGAAAATTTCTCCTTGGCCTGTTACCTCGACTGACGACAATCCAATATAAATAAATATATATTCGTATGTATGCACACATTCGTTTGACCTTGTTTGCCGCACATCCGCTGATAAATTTGTACAAACAGATTGCGCGCGATTTTTTATTTCAGACCATCAGCGGAAAAACAGCGCAGTTACCTCGATAAAATACAAAAAGTGTATTCAATAAAAGGATTTATCTTGTAAAAAATAATAGTAATTAATCGCGCTAATATGAAGAAGATGACATTATATGCTATGTGTTTCGACACAAAAGGGTATCCGTACAAAATCTTCTATACATATAAAAACAGCCGGAGTAATCATAATTGCAAATTTCAAACCTTTCACCGTCCTGTCACTTTTTCCACGCCCGACTATCTGTTTCTATTCGATCGATATCTACTTTGTATTTGAATATATTCTCCCTAACTAATCCTCAATTTCGAAGTTGGAGAGTTCAAATGGGTCGGAAACTTCTTTTCTCGCATCTCGTCGATTGATTTCGACTCGCAATTCATTACCTGGACGAAAGAATACCTGGTCGAGAGGTTGTGTAGCTCCAATTAAAATTTTAAAGCCACCTCAGTCATCAGCAGGCTATCTCCTCTCATAATGCATCATACGGAGTGAAGGGAAGATGCGCACCTCTCCACCTCCCACACCCTCCCACAGCGCGGCCAGTCATTCTAATACGCCGGTTAATACATGGATATATGGCACGAAGGATAAACTGTAACAAAGGGTTCGCGCGGTATATAAACTCCCCGGTGGATCATCTTCTCAGTTCGCCTTGCGTCTTCGGTCCTACAGCAATATGAATTGCCACCAGGTAGGCCATCAGAGATTAGTGCAACGCGGCGCTGAAACCCCGCTTTAAATACATGCAATTGTGTTACGCATTTCGTCGATTAATTTTGGGACAACTTGTACGTAGCTCTTTTCTGAATTTGATTACTGAACTTCTTTCGACTTATTTCCTTGCATATTTGTTGAAAAAATTATGTTAATATAGTAGAACAGTCGCTCCAAGCTAAAGAAAGCAACAACGAAATCGAAACAACTATCTGCCGCGAACAGGTTTAAACTTCCTTTTCGGCCGTTCGACGAAACGTGTCGTACGAATCGGATATTGTAATATTATTATCGTAACTTGTAGTCACAGAAAAGTCATCTGGCCATCTTGTCTTCCAGCCAAATAATTCAAGTATATCTTGCATGGGCGGCTTTTAATTTTACTTTGAAGCAATAGAGGACGAGTTGATAGACGAAGGATAATCTATGGTGGTAATAACGTTAATCACATATTTCGAGTTTTCTGCGCTTAGAACGAGGCGAGTAGAAATTGTAATTATCTCTGTCATTGTGTCAGCAATGACTGCTAAGTTGATGATAAACACGCCGCGAAGGGTGCGACATTTGTAACAAACCATGTGTCTAAGCCATGTGCGTGGTCCGAACGTTATTAAGAGCCGACGATATTGAAAAGATATCCATATTTGGGCGCATGGATAATCATGAAGATTGAAAGATCGCATAACACACAGGAAGTTTCAAAAGAATGAATGTCTAGTGGAAACTCAGAACGCCTATTATGTGTCATTCGGCAAACATGTGTATACGCTGAAAAACCATTTCTTAACTTAGCTTAGCGCGGGTGATGAAATTCCCGATTTTTCTGCCGAAAAGTATATAATAACGTAATCAGGACTAGATTCCTCGTCGGTCTGCTCTCGCACGATGTCGAACATATAACTACACTTAACGGAGGGATGTCGGATTGTGCCCCACTTTCCCTCAGCAGCACACGATTACCGCAGCAAACACCGATGTTTGCTATTCTACCGACTCTTTTAACATGTCAATCATCTTTCTCGAGCCGTCCGCAATAATCTCCTTTGAAATGATGAAAAAACTACGGTATCAAAATCGTATGTCGAGACGTCATAATGTTTCTCGATGATATATACATTTTTTGCTGTGATTGCTAATTGGTAATTACCACTTGCGATGAGATCTCATAATCAGGGAAAATATAATGTAATTTAATAATCGTGGGTCGTTGAGAGATGTACAAACTTTATCTTGCGATCAATTCCCAAGTAGGACAGAATTAAAATGATGAGAAAATGATCGAAAAAGAAGTATTTTAATCATTTTCTCATTATTTTGACATATTTGCGACTTTCTGTTCTACCTGAGACATGGATTTCGAATGATTCGGTCATATTTTACTATTGAATTGCTACTCACACATTCGTTCGAATCAAATTGTTCTGCTTGCAGTTGGCCAAGCTGGTCTTGGTGCTATCGTATCTCGGCAGCGATGTCCTCGCTGGTCTCTTGCCAGGCGGTGATGCCGCAGGATATCAATATAACCGACCTGGCAGCGGTGGATTCGTCGGCGGCGGAGGTTTTAATGTAGGCGCTGACGCTGGTTTCAACATCGGCGGTGGTCGCGGTGATTTCGGCAGCTACAGAAGACCCACCCAGGTTTACGGTCCGCCCGGTGGTGGAGGCGGCGACGCTTTCAACAGGCCGGGTGCTGTTGGCGGTGCGTTCGGACCATCAACGTCTTATAGACATCCGCAGTTCGGCGACGATGGTAGCGGTAGCTATCAGGACCGCGGTCTATCCGGAGGATATCAAGGAGGAGGAGGATTCAGCGGACGTGACACTGGAAGGGTAAAAATACCGATCATTCGTACTAAACGTCATTAATCATTTGCGTAGCATGTGCTTCTTTTTGTAAATACTTTGTAAATATCCGTAATGCAATAAAATAATGTCAATGGCGATCGATCTTTCAGCCACAGCCGTACAGCTTCCAATATGAAGTAGTCGATCCACCAAGTGGTAACGATTATGCTCAACGCGAAAACAGCGATGGCAACGTTGTTCAAGGAGAGTATAGAGTCCTGTTACCGGATTCGAGGACGCAGATTGTCCGCTATATGGCTGACGACGTGAATGGATACAACGCGGACGTACAGTACGAGGGACAAGCGCAATTCCCTCGCGGAGGCGGTCCGGGAGGGTATCAGAGTGATAGTTTCGGCGGTGGATATCAAGGAGGTAATCGTCCATTGAGAAATTCACTAAAAAATAATTACAATCTGAGGAAACTTAAACTAGTTTTTTCTATCAACAAAATATTATCAAAGCAAGTATGGGCTGCGCTGGATTATATTTGATAATACATCTCGGGCCGGATTGAATGTTATTAGGTCTTAATTTGCAGGGCTCTAACATTTGAACATTATTTAAAGTTTTTTAAATACTGCGTCAATTTTTTGGGGTGCTACTGCTATAATCTCACCATCATTCGAATTACCTAAAAAAACTGCAGATTTTTCATCTGATACATACATACATACATACATATATATATATATATATATATATATATATATACCACATCACATATTTACGATTCCTGTCGTTAAATTTTATGTTTTGTCAACAGGTAGAGGCGGTTTCAGTGGAGGCGGTTTTATCGGCAGCGACAGCGCTAGCAATCAATATTTGCCTCCGCGTAACACTTACCTCAAATAAACAACGTCCAACACAGGCTCGACTTAGCCAAAATATGACATATATTGTGCGCACTTTCGGCGACAACCATTACGGACCTCTCTCGTTTACGGCTTTTATTCTGACACACTGTACTTCCGTTCCTCCCCCCTCCCCCCACACACATACATACATACACACTACCTTTTCCCCAATATCACTTGCATATTACAGATAATCGCCTTCATCCATATTTAATGATTATTACACAAGGCTAATTAGGATAACTTCATACTATGCATGCATGCATGTATGTGTGTATGTGTGTGAGTGTGTGTACGCGTATTTATATATGATATATATACTTGATTTTGTATATGGTAAATATATTATCGAATATATATATATGTATACGCTTGTACCTTTCGCTAAAGCGATTGTGAAACTCTTACAATATATACGTATTTATACAAGCTTGTAGTAAAACATATATAAAGTACCCTTTCTATTTAAATATTATGCAGTCTCGTATCATTTGTTTCCAATTCGCTTTAATTGATTGCTTCAATTGATTATTATATTAATGTTACATTGAAATAATTATAAAGAAAACATAATATCAGCATTAGTTCATATAATTTTATAGATTGGAAAAACTATATTCTGTGTTCACTTATTATATATAACTAATGTAGAAAAGAATGTACGAAGTTATTAAATTATAATTAAAGTAAAAGTAAGATCATGTTGTCATTTTGTATCATATAAAATAAATGATTATGCCAATAGTAAGATTCAATGGAGAAAGGTTTGTAAAGAAAAGTTATAAAGATTTTATTCACGCATAACCTTGACCTGGAAAGAAATTAAATAAACATGAATTAACAAACATGAGAATTTTTGTTTATTATAACACAAGATCATTTACCTCTGCCTAAAGATGCTTTTCTTGATACTTCCTTAATTTTTCTGTGTAACACACCTCTTCCACCTAAATAAAAAATATACATGTACACAACCGCATATATACATAAAAGGTATAACAATTATAACAACATGTTATACACGTGTATTTAATTCATAATGTTACATACAGACTTACCTATAGGAGGAAAATTCGTTTCATCATTCTTTGGGGCGTAATCGTCCATAGTAGCAGCTACGTATGCTGGAAAAAAATTAAAAATATATATTTGTATAAAGTGATATGATCAGACGATAATTTTACCAGGATAAACCCACAAACACGCACAGAAACAGGAAAATCGTATACCATTTTGCAATAGTTAATGAGGAATTAATTAATCTGTATAACCTAATGATTACACGGTAAACAATAGGTCGGAAAAAAGAAACATGGCTTACATCTGAAGATTAATAACGGTGAACATCAATCGATTTTCAGAGACGAAGTAACACAATGAGCGATATGTAATAACACAGGATTGCGCGCCGAAAAGAAACATGCTTCTTATTATCAATTGATACCCCATCGTTACGTGGACATCTTCAGATGTAAGCTACTTTTACACAGTTTGACCTATTGTTTACCGTGTGATCATTTGCTGATATTAATTCCCCATTAATTATTGCGATCTTTGCAAAACAGTACATGATTTTTATATCCAGTTTAAGGATACCTCTCGGCAGCCATATTGGCTTATGACGTCATAGTCGAAAAATGTCATGCAGTAAGTTTTTTGCGGGATATAGTTTTATTCGCATTTTGTGGCTTTATTTTTTATAGTTTTCCCTGGAAAATGTTTCGTCGTAATCCTGAAACCTGTAAAATGTGCAACAACAAATTGAAACGTCTGTCCAATATATCACATAGATTCGCAAAATAATTCCTGAAATAACAGATCATTTATGCATGCCATTTCTGGCCTATGACGTCATACAACCAATCCAGCTGTCCGGTAAAGCCAAGCTTTAGTACGTTCTATCTGCACACCACGGATGACAAGATCCAGTATATATGTATATATAACCTAACTTGATCATGATTTAATTTTGTATACTTACATATAGTATTTGGTGCTCGCATTGGTCTTTCATCAAACTGGAAAAAAAGCAAAATTAATAAATAACATTATACTTTCCAATTGATTTAAAGAGTTGTTGGTACACACACATCATTTGACACATATTTTTTTCTTTGATTCATCAGTTAAGTTACTAACTTTTTTATGTCCACTACCATCGATAATAGGTTCATTCAGTTTACTATGGTCGACGACAGTTACTGGCTGGCACTTACTCCGTAAAACCATTTTTTCTTCATATGTCCTCTCAGAAACTTTTATTCTATGTTGCTCCCTTACCTATCAAGCCGTATAAAATTATCGCACTGACAAATTTACAACATTGCTTATATGCACAAATATTATACTGTGACTGTCTATAAAATTACTCAATATTGTATTTGTTCTACGTATACGCTCGCGCGCGGGTGTGTATGTGTGTGAGCACGCGCGCATATGCACATGTTTGTATGCAAATCTATACATGCATAAAATGATATATTTCAAATATACTTACGCCTGTTGCAGACACTACTGAGCACTGATCAGATATTTGGGGAATTTCAAGCTTTATATCTAAATTAGCCATTGATTGCGTAATCAATTTGTAGGTACAATCAGTATCATCAGGAAAGTGTACTCCTGGTTTCATGTCTATTTGGAGTGGTTCGCAAAATTCTTCACACATTCCCCATGCCCACCGATATAGGACTAACTTACTGCAGTATTCAGATCCTCCTTCCATAAATTCATGGATCTATATTACAGAATTATTGTTATTTTGTCCATCAAATGAACTTCAAAACCTAAATTTATAGTGTCAATTCAAATTCGAAGAAAAGAAAAATTCCCTGAGAATTCCAGGTTTTTCAAGTTTTTCTGGGTAATCTATTTTATAAAATCACTTACCAAACATTCGTTGCCTCTTTTGTACAAATACTTAGAGTCTAAACGTGTAAACGTATATTCAGCATAAGCAGCAGTATGCTGAATATCTCTATCTGCTCGTTTTTTATAAGCTTCATCTGCTAAGTGTTTAAATAGTGATTCTATTTCATAAATCAGAAACTGCTCTTTATCTTGTCCTGAAATAAAAGTGGATTTTTGAAATATATATATATATATATATATATATATATATATTAATTAGATAAATAAGTTTAACGAATTATTGCATTTTATTAAAGCAGAAGATGCAAAATGGCATTTAATACTTACCTGCTGCATCACATAATTTTGTTATTAAAGATTGCACCGCTCCTGTCAAACCTTTTATTGTATAAAGTGGAGGATACCTGTCCACAATTTTCCTGTGCTTCAAAAAATTAGTAAACTTTTCATACATAACAGCAAAGTTAGATTCTCCGTTTTGATTTTCTATAGGTATATTATGATTACTCCGACTGGTTTCCAGTGCTTGTCGCTTATATCCCAGTGGAATTGGAGCATTAACAATCGTATGATGGATATCTTCGATACCATTCTCGAGTGAAAAAACTCCAATTGCATATTCAGCTGGGAAATATTCAGTAATATTGTCAACAATTTTTGTGAAAAACCAGTTAACATGTATGAAGCAGAATTTCAGCTGTGGCAAAACTATATGACAAATATATATATGATATTATTAATAAATTATCACATAAAACTTATATTGTAGATATATATATATAACTTATATATTACATGCCATTGTGATTGACAGCTCTGATGATTGTTGATTCTAGATACTCATGCATATCTAATCTGAATTCTCGCTTAGCCTTTTCTTCCTCTTCAAGAAACTTTATAGGTTCTCCAAAGGTTGTTTTCTTACTATTTGTATTCCTTTCTGATTGTATTTTGTTCTTTTTAGCCCTTGCTTCATACAAACCTTTTTGTTGTTTAGTTAAACTCTATTAAATATATAAAAAATAACTATATATATAGTCATTTTAATTAATAAACATACAATAATTTATAAACAGTTAAAAAACTGGGCAATAATTTGAACTATCCAAACTGTTATTTCAAGATCCGAATTTGGTGAATTGGTTTTTTATGCTTTGACTTTCTTAAGTCGCAGAGATCTTTTAAATATTTATTGAAAATAGTAACTATTAACTTCCCGATGAAATTTCTTGTAAAAAAAGGAAAAAAGTTTAAATCTGAAGCTAGAAGAAACCAAATTATTTATGTTAAATCCTTCTGTTTATCCCTGTTTAAGTCAGAGTTCTTCTTTTGTATGTACTGCCTAGACATACAGTATATAGAACTTCCAAGAATCAACATATTCGTTCAATGATAGATGACACAAGATGTTAGTCAATTGATATTTATCTTTTATATATATATGCATATTGAAGTATCGATAAAAGTAGGAATATTGAACATAGATGTTTCTAACTTGCAATATTGCACTCGAACCTTACCTGCCATTCCTCATTACATTTTTGACTCGCTTGCACATCTTTAAGATCGTTTGGAAATGTGCAACCTCGTGCTTCTTCACGTTTTTTCCAATCAATCATGAAGAAATAGAACGCGTTTCTACCTTTATTCTTCGGCATATTGTCAGTTCCGTGTAGGAAAGACGTTTCGTTTCTTACAGAAACTCTCTCTCTCTCAACAATGATCCCAGAATTCCGGTCAAAGAGGATCCCCAAAAACCGGTATTAAGTATTCAAAAAATGTAGATTATGCGTCCGAGACAGAACTTCAACAAAAATATGCGGGTTCAATAATGAGTGAAGGCCCCGCAAGCGCACTCGCGGGCTGCCGACAGACTTTTTTCTTTTTTTTATAGAAACTGTGAAAAATGAAAGTTCACTGTACGTAATCGCTGGAAACGCTCTGATTTGAACCCCCGCAGATTCACCGGTACACAGTAAATTTCACCTTACTAACAAAAGGTCTGTTCGTTTTCGCTACGCCGCTGAAATAGTGCAATAAGTTAAAGTGAGAAAACATATATTTGTCTCGCTTCAACTTATCACACTAGTTCAGCGGTGCAGCGAAAACGAACAGACCTAACAAGCAATGACTTCTGATCACCGGACGTGGCAACGCGCTGCGGAAGTTTGCGTGGTAGCCAATCAACATACCGTTTTTTGGTAAGAACTAGAAGTTCATTGGCTACCGCGTAGGGCTGGGCAAAATAATCGATGTTTGAAAAACATCGATGTTCGTTCATTGAAGATGCGTCGTACGACACAGTTTGTCGGATGCACCGATTGGCTGTCAGATTAAGAATTTCTAAAGTCCCTATCATTTTCCCTAGATGTAACACCATCCGCAATAAACGGACATCGATGTTTGAAGAACATCGATAATTTTGCTCATCACTACTATCGCGCGAACTTTCGCCGCGCGTTGCCGCGTCTTACGAAGCCATTTCTTTACATGCGGCAACTTCCCCGACGAAACAATCTACAAAGAGGAGGAATATAACTCCATCTGTGATGGATCGATAATACTTTTTTCGATGGAACCTTTAATTTATCAACAGATAAGATTTTGGGAATGCCTAAAGTGAATACATTATTATAGGCCTTAAAGGATTAATTGACGATAAACAAAAGACAGGAGGATGTGATTCGATGTGAACCACGCGTATAATTTATGAGCACAGCATTCGGTGCACAAAGTAGGAAGGCGTACCGCACAGTAGTTGAAAAATGCGACATATACTCACGTTAGCGCATATCATTAGCGTTCTCCGTTAAATGTTAGTCGAAGGTTGGCGGGAGACGTTTGCTTCGGTACCAATAGCAGCTTCTCTGACAGTCGTCCGAGAGTCGGCAGGGAGATCGAAGCATCGCTCCAATCGTTCTCGTATACACGCTTCGAGTTCTCTTACAATTAGTGTAATCTCGTGGGAAATCGAAAGAAAAATCTTCAAAATTTTCTTATAAATACCGTTGCAATCGGAAATGTTTAATTATATGACGAAATTATGTTTATTTAACAATCATGGAAAAACTGACATTATGTTTCTTGATGATCATCGGACTTTTTTTTATGTGTTTACTCGCGTACTCGTTAGTGATAATGTCGAGCATTTACAAAAAAATTATTTATCGCGTTTTTTTCTCCTTTGATTTGATGTAAAATAGCAGTTGATCGATCGTAAGAATTATTACAACAATTGTAAGATTATACGTAAAGATAAAAATTGAAATACGCGTTAAAAACATCTTTGATAATTTTATTTAAATCCAGTCAGTCTTTTTGCACATGTAATTATTATTATCGCTAAAGTTCGGATCTCAACATCGCTTACTGTTTCACTTATACACCGGTCTAACGATTTAGCAGATAGCAATTGAGGCATCGTCGTATGTGTGTGCGCGCGTACGTTGTGTGGGTGTAGATATAATTTGTCTAAATTTAATTAGACATTTCTTAACTCATTATTACAAGTCCAAAGCATGATATACTTATTTTTGCATTAAATGACGCTGCTTTATTTACTACGCTGTCCGTTAGACCGCCGTGCACGGCACTGCTTCTCCTTTGACTGCTAGCAGGCCTTTGAAATGAGAAGGCCAGTGGTAAGCGACCCGTGGTAAGCGACCCTGAAATCGAAACTCTGATTATCGCACAATAAGATATTACACAATATATATATATATANAAAGATGCTGCTGTCGTTACGCTTATGGATAAACCGTTCATATATCGCCTCAAGAAATTTCTTGGATGAATTAATAATTGCCACATCAGGATTTCCATTTCTCCTATAATTATTCTGCTCAATGAACGTTGAACTTACCTTGATAACAATTTTCCTTTATGTGATACACGTGAATTTCACATCTTTGCGATTAACCTGTATAATACGTCCAGCATATAAGATAACAACGCAGCGCCATTAATTGAAGATATTGCTTTAAAAAAATTATGAATAATTGATGAGCATCCCGTTAGATTTGCAACTTGTGCCGGCGCTCGACCGAGGAATAATACTGAGGAGATAATCTTTAGCGTTCGCATCTGCTCTTAATAATGATAAGAAAGTGCTGCTCGTGTTCGTGCTTCTCCGGCTTCAGGGCTGTGTTCAGACCTCAACAAATCGGACCTTCACATAAACCAAATTGTACGAAATCTGAATGCATGCCACGGCCGCCTCCGACCACCGCGCCCGGTAAGTCGAATAGTTTATTTACCTAATATACTCTTTATATAACTCTAATTACGCTAGTTTCAAACGTATTGTTGAGGTTTAAAGTGATAAAATATTGTGCTTTTTAAGAGATCTATTCTCTAAATTTCTGGCATCCTGCTCAAAACAAATCACTCGAAGCGATAACGACGATAAATACTCTGCCATTTAAAGTCGTAAATGTTCCACTTAAGCTTGGAGTAGACTCCATACAAAATCAATTAGAGCGAATTTGTTCCCATGACAGTGGAATATATCAGATTCATTCTTCAGTTTTAAATAAAAATACTAATTCAACGATTCAAAACGGAGAATTCATTCTATATGAATAAAAAATTACTCGAATGATTCGGCTCTACTTTTCGAGTGACATTTCACTTCGGGGAATTTAGAAAAAACAAATTTCTCTACGTTTGATAATGGCTTGATGATACCAACGTTTAACGTAATATTTTTTCACCTATTTATATATATTTTTACCGACTTAAATTGCATTATATTATGCAGGAAGAAGGAAGGAGGAAATCTCTAATTATATCACTGTTATTACTGTTGATCAAAGGAAAGAGTAATTTTTCGCAAGTAATCCGCGTTCTTTCCGAAAAGAGCGCGACTAAATATTCCTGCGAGATTATAATTCTTTGCCCGTGAGAGTTTGTATTAAGGGAGAAATTCTGCGGGATAAGAATCGCTTTATTCATTGTCCGTTACATCGTATGCAGCAGTATGATGTCATCGTGTCGTCGATCCAAAAGAAACTACAAGGTTATTTTAAATTCAATTCATCGATGGTGGATTTTATTATCAGCGCGCGAACGATCGACAAGGCGAACATTAACATATGTAGGCATGAGAAGTCTTGTTCGATTATTGTTGCATCACCAGATTTAAACATTGTCGACGATAAGTATATATTACGAAATATCAGGATGGGCTAAAGTAATTTTTATTTTTAACCAAGTTATAAGTTAAAAGTTATATAAACGAAAACTAACTTAATTATAAGTTAAGTTGAAATTAAATTAATTTATTAAATTAAAAATGGAGAAATATTAAAAGACCTTTAACAAATGAAGATACTTTTTAACTTAGTGTGTAATTAGTTATTGCCCAGCCTTGCAGAATATGTAAACGACAATTGACTTTTGCTATATCCCTTCTCAACGATCAATTGCTCGGAGTCAGTTTGAAGTTGATTTCTCAACAAAAGAAACTTTTATATTTTTCATGCTACTTTGTATCATCCACAAACTCGTTCACTTGGAAAAGTATTTAACAAAGAAAAGATTTTCAGAGCGGGCAAACAGACGGATGTTTTTGCGAAAAGATCAGATTGTTTCGCACATTTCTGTTGCGAAACAGTGAACACTATGAAGGCAGTTTCCGCGTTTTCATAAGCGGTCGTACAATTTACAAATAATCGCGCGACTTATGGCTATCGTTCGAGTCTCATTCGATGCTTAGTTTCATCGTTGAGACAATATATTTAGCCAGATGAGAAGTATCAGCTTTCCCCCCCCCCCTTTCTCTCTCTCGTTGTACGGCGTTGCCGCGTGTATGTCTTATCTACATTTGAATAGGTAATGTTATTCGTTAGTTGCAATGTATTAATTCATCAATCACGCCGCTATTGCGTGTGCGCGCTCATCTACACAGATCGTTAACTTTTTAACCTTTTTAAGGATATAAGTCTGGCTTATTGCGAGTCGGTTTTCAACATATTTTTCTTTTTTCATTTTTTTAGCCCTTTAATAACGCAAGATTTCCTCGCACATAATCTTGAAACTGAGTTAAAGGGCTTCTTTTTCCGAGCCGTCATAGTACGGTGCCATGAATGAAAGTGAAATTACGTAAGCGGCTGCGGCGCCGTGATGGTCAAGCGGTGACATCACTTTCGCTGACGCAACTCTCGTTATCATCAATTATGAATACTAGAATTATTCAAATACGTTCGGTCTATTTTGACTGGTAATGAAAAGTTAATTAAAAATCATTTGATGAAGAACGATGTTTCTTGAATGCACATGAGAATCTGGATATGCTTCTTTCGGTTCTGCACGGAGAAAATAATTGGTTGAATTGACATGACAATGAATGAACTTGTTTGAATTGAAAGAGACTTTCTTACAAATCAAATTCGGTTATAAAAACCAAAACGATCCTTCAGCTAAAACGTGTTTAGTTGATCCATCGTCACATTGATTCAATCGACGTTTCCACTATAACTTCGCCTCTCCTAGCGTATTTGATGAAAATCACCTAGTTACTTCCCTGAAAGCTCAGTAACTAACACGGTAGCAGTTTTTAATCGAACACTGCACGAGACATTATTTAATTAGTATCTAGGAGATTCGCAGCAAGAACTTTGGCCGATTAGCTGAAACGCTTTCGCGATTACCCATCCTCAAGATTTCCGATTCTCCTCGTTAACTCACGCTCGTCGAGATAACTTCTCGTCCGTCGACTCATTCTCTTTTCCGCATAGATACATCGCGACACGTACATATTAGAGCGCACACTCGTTATTTTGTTGTGTGCAATAATTACGTGATTCCGATCTGTATGGGATCTGTGGGATCAAGTTGCTCTCAAATAAGCAACTCGCTCACTCGCCTTGGTGCAAGCCGCATTCCCGGAGAAATCTTAATTGCAACGTTCGGAAGGAGTTGCTCATACGTGTGCACAGAAAGTGCGTCTTGTAAAACTTTGCCGAACGTCCTTCCGATCGCCGCAATACCGTTGCTGCGCGAAAGAGATATAATTTGCGCTCAGTGACGCCGGTAGTTTCTTCCTTTTCCCTCCTTTTGCAAACTGAGATAACGATTTTTGAGTCATCATCATAAATGATAAAATATATGCTGCCCACAAGAAGAAGGAAGTGCATGTTGCTAGAGAAGCCAGTCGGTAATGAACACAAACGAACGACTTGTAGGCCGGTATTTTCGCACAGGAACGATACTTGTGTCCGTGATATAAATTCCGTTACTGAGTCACTTGAGTATCATCATTTTCGCATTAAAACCGATGAAGTAATCGAATTACGGTGACGATATAATTGGAGCAACGTACAATCGTCATTGAGTGATTCGCGCAACATTGATTTCATACAGACGAGCGCGCAAGTTTCTCGTGGTTTTCTGTAAATGTATCTATCTTTGATTTGCGCGGTCGAGATGCAAAATTTACAGAATAAAATCAAATTTTCGGCCAACAACGCGAAGTATATTTATATGTCGTATATGAATGTAGAACGTGACGGCGTAATTACACATGCAAGAATCTTACGTTGCGACAACATTCGCAACGTGTAATCTCGGTAATATACTGCGTTTTTTCTAATCATTGATTATATTCTCGCCGCACCGATTGAAATCTTCCGACATGGAAAATCGATCGGATTATGCAGGCTCCAAATACGGCGGGCAAAGTATTTCTTGGAACTCGAGTAGGTTTTAATGTCTCTGTTAACCGGTGTATAATTTTCACGTTTACCTTGCTGGATATTGGTCGCGCATGATTTGTATATGAAACGCTATTCCTCTTCTTTCTTGATTGATTTCTAAATAAACCGAAAGAAGTTAAGAATAAGATTTCATTGAATTTTGCGATAAACCCTTTCTCTTCTTCTCACCTTGACTATATGCGATTATATATCACCGATTAATTTATGGGAACGCACGCAAAAGTAGGTGACTCCTACTGACGCCGGTGTCACCGATGACGGCATGGCCGACCGTTGCAGTTATGTCCTTGGAAGTTACTCTTAGAACGCAACTTCCTACCTCTCAGACGCTTTTCTTCCTTCCTCCTCATCGGTGAGCTTTTAGTTGTTCAGCGAGCTCACGTGCGACACATCGATGTATCCAGTTTTTCGCTCGTATCCGGTGCACCCGGATCGCCGCCGGATGTCTTACAGATTCTACGATCGTTATCGGCTCTTCAACGACCGGAGCACCCGAGCGTTTCCCTACAGATTCTACTGTGAGAGAATTAAAGAACGGCGTTGCACACACAATCGGTGGATGAAAAGTTGCGACATTTCTTTTCCGCTAATGTTTCGCGACATCTCCTGTGCCCTCCAATAAAAGAATTTGTTTTGTAATAATTCTCAGAAAAGGTGACTTTCTATTATTATATGCGAAATGCGTTGCGAAACTCATCGAGAAAAGGAAACGTTGCAACCGTTAATCTATCAACTGTGTATTAATTTATATAAATTTAATCTGGCAAGAGGATCCGTCAAATGGATGAGCAATTATATCCGAAAGAAATATTTCATTATCTCGAACAAATGATTTGTTTACAGGGGAAGACTTTGGCGTGCCAGTATTGACAATTTACCACGTGGATCCTTGCGTGGAAGAGAACGGCGAGAAACATCGGACATGTAGATATGAGCTAATGACACGTCAGGCTGACAGAGTGAGATTGGTCGTCAGACGCGGCCAGGAGTTCCATCTGCATCTCAGTTTGTCACGAGATTATGATCCCTCCATCGACGGTATCTCTATTGTCTTCACCCTGGACGGCGTCGAGAAGCCACAATACGGACACGGCACACTGGTGGCGACCGCTCTACTCAATCCGGGTGAAATTTCCGAAGCTGCCTGGCAGGCCACCATAGACGCCATAGAACCGAATTTCTTAAGAATCAAGGTAAGCCGCCACACATTCCGTTAATGCAAAATAATTAATATCGTTGATTCCTGCGGCAGGGATTCTCAGAACCTTTCCGAATACATTCTATTTACAGGTTTCTCGTAAAAGAAACTTGTGTTAAAATAATATTAACAAATGTTGAAATTAACTTAATTCTAAATGATACGTGAAATCATTCAATTGACATAAATTATGAAAACATCGTACAAAAATAATTACATATGAGCTGTGTGTTTATTGTGACATTGAGATTTTAGTCAAGAGTCGGTGAGAAAATTGCTCACATTTGGACAAAAGATCTCTCTCTCACTTTGTATATTTTCGAGAAAAATTAACGAAAACTTGTTCGTCTTCAGATTGTGCCGTCCGCAAATGCAATCATTGGCAAGTGGAAAATGGAGATTGACACGAGGAACAGAGAATCCGAAGGTGCAGTCAGTTTCACGACGCAGAATCCGTTTTACCTGATTTGCAATCCATGGTGCAAAGGTTCGAGATTTGCGCGCATGAAGATCGCACCTCTTGACGATTATCACAGAGCCTCTTCTTTTAAGACGACGCGGTCTACTTGGAGGATGAGGCTGGACGTCAGGAATATGTGATGGCGGAGGACGGCTTGATCTGGCGCGGCAGTCACAACCGTATGCGGCCTACCGTGTGGAAATACGCGCAGTTTGAGCGCGACATTTTGGACTGCTCTTTGCATTTGATGAATCAGGTCGGCAAGGTTCGAGTCTCCGGCAGGAATGACCCGGTCGTTATAACGCGCTGCCTGTCCGCCGCGGTAAGTAGAGAAAAAAACGTGAAATTATCGGAAATGTTAAAACTCCTCCACTTACAGTCATCTTGATTAATCAGAAGCGAGAAGACATATATTTTACTAAACGAGCTGCATCAAAGATCATGAGAGAAGATCATGCTGAGAAGAAATTTTACGGTTATTTATTGATTAAGAAAGTTCGGAATATTTTCCGAATGGATCGATCGTCATTTGATATTTTCCTTTTCAGGTAAATTCCCCGGACGATAACGGGGCGGTGATGGGAAATTGGTCGGACGATTATGGAGGCGGCACGCCACCCACGCGGTGGATAGGTTCGCAAAAGATACTCCAGCAGTACTACAAGAGCAAGAAACCGGTCAAATACGGTCAGTGCTGGGTTTTCTCCGGCGTACTGGCGACGGTCTGCCGCGCTCTGGGCATACCCTGCCGAGTAGTGACCAACTATTCCAGCGCTCATGATACCCAAAGCAGCCTGACCGTCGACTATTTCGTGGATGCCGAGGGCAAGGTCATGGAGGAGCTCAACAGCGATTCCATATGGTACAATTGGTGTTTTTCAATGGAGCGTTATAGAAAGAGAAAGTATATCGATCGTTTCCTCTTCGCAAAAGGAATTTCCATGTATGGGACGAAGTGTGGATGAAGCGGCTGGACCTCTCGCCTGACTGTTCGGGCTGGCAGGCGATAGACGCAACACCGCAAGAATTGAGTGAAGGCGCGTTCCGTTGTGGCCCGGCATCTGTGAATGCCGTAAAGAAGGGGCAAGTTCTGCGACCTTACGACAACGCATTCCTTTTCGCTGAGGTGAACGCCGACAAGGTTTATTGGCGGTACAACGGGCCGACGCAGCCTTTGAAATTGGTTCGCAAAGATATGTATGGGTGCGTATCGATTAATCGCTCGCGATCGTTGATATGTGCAGGCCAACTTTCACCGAATTCAACAATCAATAAGAATTGAGATCAATTTTCAGTTCTGTAACTTTAATCATTTTTATCTACGTCACACTGAGAGAAATCCCATTAAAGTATAGTCATTTTCGGCCTATATCCTTTTCTGACTTTAATCTAAACAAGTAGCAACGTAAGGTTACACGGATGCTGTGGTAACTTTACTTGCCAGAAAAAATGCTTCTCCCGACTATTATTCTATGCAATTATTGTTATAAATATCAAAAAGTGCGACGGTCATTTTGCAGCATTGGCCAACTGATTAGTACAAAAGCGGTCGGACGATGGGCGAGAGAGGACATCACGCACACTTACAAGTATCCGGAGAGTAAGTGATAGGAAATTGCACGATTAAATTAAATATTGTTTACACATTTATTGTTTGCAATTAAATATTGTTTTGTTTTTTCTCGAGGATATTGAATTGGAAGGAAAGCAACTTTTCCCGACAGATTACTTCAGTATGCTTTACTAGAAAGAAATTTCAATCTGGCGCAAATGCACAGCGTCATTTAATGCATGCAGAATATATGTAGAAGCGTTTACTTAAGGTTGAGAGAAAAATGGAGCAAAACAATTTTCGTTGTTTGTGATACCGTTTTACTTCTTTATGGGGAGAAACGCGTAATAAAGTTAAATTTGGCTGAAAAATTGCACCAAAGTCTTTCTGACTAATGCTATACATTTCATCGACTATAGTCTTCTTCCCGACAGAATCTAATGAGGAACGGGCGGCTATGCTGAAGGCGTTGCGTCAAAGTGAGTCTTTGTTCAGTCGTTACTACCTGAACGAGGAGTTCAACGACATCATGTTCACTTTTGAATTGCGCGACGACATTGTTATTGGACAACCATTCAGGTATTTTATTTACCTACACTGCAAATCCAAATATATACACATTTACATGTGGTGTCATTTTTATGCATTTTCACGCGGGCATTATTTTGCTACATTTGTGTTATTTTACGCAGTTAAAGGTGTATATTTTACATATATATTAAACGTTTGATTTGCTATAATTTTAAAGATTTCTTTATCTTTTACAATCTGTTTGATAAGTCCGGCATAACTCTCGCAAGTTCTTATGGTATCTATGTCTATTGTGCTACTTCATTCTCCGACAGCGTGGTATTACTGATAAAAAATCGACATTCACTGAGAGAGTACCGTGTGTCGGTGATTCTGAGAGTGGAAACTGTCCTCTACACGGGTCGCGTGGGTGACCCGGTAAAAAAATTGAACGCTGAGAAATTGGTGAATCCGGGTGTGCTCGAGGAAATTCGCATGGATGTTTCATGGGAGGAATACGGTCCACGATTGTTAGATCAGTGCGCCTTCAATATTGCCTGCCTCGCTACCGTGAAGGACACAAATTTCGAATATTTTGCACAGGATGACTTCCGCGTCAGGAAACCCGATATCAAAATCATGGTAATAAACTAAAAATAATTCCAAATAATTAATATTAATCGATACTAAATTTCTTTGAGTCTCTAAATTTCCGGTAGTAAAATCGAGAATTAAAGCCAAATCATTCAGAGTGATTTTTCACTCGTACAAAAATGAATTTTCCATTCTGAATCTCCGTTGAATGAATATTTTCATTCTTAACTGAAGAATGAATCTGATAAATTCCATCGTCACGAGAACAGGAATTGACTCAATGGAAACATTCACTGATCACTATAGAGTCCACTCTAAGCTCGAGTGAAACATTCCTTCTTGCGATTGAGTTGAGGTATTTTCCCTTCGAATACTTTTCACCTATTTTTAGTGCGATTTCACGCTGAGAAATCTAGAAAGTAATGTGATATCTCGTGCATATTATATTAATTTAAGATACTTTTTTCAGTTGCACAATGACGCGATAGTTGGTCAGACTCTCAACGGGACGGCTAAGTTTCGTAATCCGTTGCCGATTCCTCTGAGAAAGGGCAGATTCCTTATAGAGGGACCCGGACTAGATGTGCAATTGAAGCTGAAGCTGACGGAGCCCGTTGAGGTGGACGAAGATGCGGAATGTACGTTTTCCATGATACCGAAGCTAGAAGGACGGGCTAGAATAGCGGCTAAGTTCTATTCGAAGGAATTGGAGGACGTCGACGGCCATTCAGACAATTTTATAGTTAGACCAGCGAAAATAAACGGTAACTCTGAGTAATCGCGATGCTTTTTAAAACAATGTCTTAAAAAAGAATGATTCAGTGTACTCCGATACTTTCGCTATTGATATTTATAATCATATTAATTAATGTAATAATAGCGATCCAGTGAGTCACAAAATTAAAATAACGCAAACAATAACATTGCAAGTGTAATTTAACAAATCAAGTATTATTTATGCCGAAAATTTGTCTTGAGCTATTGAAGATATCGAATTCCAGAAAGTGTGAAGCAATACTGAGATTTAAATCTGTAATACTCGAATCTTATCAAATCTCAGAAAATACTTAACCAAAAGGAGTTTTAGAAAGAGTGGTATTTTCGAAAAGTTCTCGATGTCAGCTACAAGAATATTGAATAAAAAATTTTATTTAAGATTTTAAAGTTGACCTGAAACTCTCCTTCATATCTGTGTTCAAGCTTAAATGGGTATTGCTATTTGATGTTGAAACATCAAGATTTTTCTATACAATATTGTTTTCTGAAACGCTTTGTGTTCTAAACGTTTAAGCGATCCGATACTTTCTCCTCATCCTATGTGTATATGCGCACGGAATCAACGCGAAGACGGAGAAAACCAAAAATAAATATTATGCGAATGCTCGTGTCGACCGCGGCTTTTGCAATTGCAATGCGCAACAATAGTCGTGAGGATAAAACTTAATTTTGTTAATACGGGCTAAATAATTTGTGTTTCTAAAGTAATTTTTTTTTTTTTTTTTTTTTTTTTCCACNCAACACGTGTTCATCGAGGTTTGCTTTAGTAACCTGAGGCAAGTCAAGAAGTAGGTAAATTTTATTCGTTCGATTAGACACGATTCATTGTTCGGTTGTTCTCTCATTTTTTCAAAAAAAATAAAAAAATAAAAATCGATACACTATATAATATTGTTCCGTTAAAGTGGTTCTCGAACTATATTTCCATTTCTTTGACAATTACATTTCTCTCGGAAACAATTTTTCTGAATCATTATTATGTTTACGTTGCTATCGACTACACTTTCTGACCTTATAAATCGTCGGAAATAGTATAAAGCCGTTTGTGTCGCCGAAATGGTAACTGACTAAGCGATCGGTCGATGAAAAATGAGAAGCATTTCACCCCAAAAATTCCAAAGCCAATTTTCCCATCGCTCGCCCTGAGCGGTAGATGAGTACCTTAACATTCCTTCTCGGTGTTACGAAACAGCCGAATTATTTATATCACAGCATGCGCTTTTCACGAATCAACGTCTTTCGTTGTTCCGTCTCTTGCACAGAACAAGTCGGATCAGACGAGACGAAGACAGGTACAAATCTACAGGACGCGTTTCCCGAGCGTGCTTATCCCTCTGACCTGGCAACATTAATAACATTTCACGAGATCTCGAAGTCCTCCTACCTGCGGGCCCCCCGCGGAAGAGATCGCGTCACTGACATGTATTCTTCGCGCCGGCGATCCTGATGGATACACGGGTTTCGATAGGAACAAAAGGATGTTGGTTTAGCGTGGAAGGCGTGTTTGTTGTTTTGATGAGGTATAATGGGATGGATCCCGGGTGTTGATGCATAGCACGTAGCGGGGTGCCGCGGCTCCGTGGCCGCGCGCGGGCTCCGTTTCGGTTCCCGCTCGTTGAGACCCCCGTAGACCGGGGTCGCAACACGTCCATCACATGTCATGGTTATGTATTTAGACATATCTCACTATCATCCCGCGTATCTCCTCTTTCTCTCTATTTCACTCTTATTCTCGTATATCCTTAATCCTTCTCCGCTCAGTTGCCGAGGAAGCTGTTTTGTCGCTTGTTAATCGAAATTTTATTCCGTCGAAGAAAATTCATCGAGAGAGTGGGTGTGATTTTATCAGGAGAGAGGAAAATAATCTCGACACCCTCCTTGACTTGTATTTACCAATGGTTCAATTAATTGAAGCAAGAGGTAAATGATCTCGGCGAAGCGAGATCGATGAAACACGGTGGGACAAATTTATTCTGTTCCTACACTTCTTTGGTATGATAAAAATCCGAGCACTGTGAGGGGAAACAAAAGAAGAAGCGACTGAAGTTTTATTCGCGATCGAGGCGATAACAAAGTTCATTCATGTTCGTTTTCCGATCGTTACATTGCGGCCTTTTTCTTCGATCACTCATTCTTTCAACTCTTTATCCAATTTGCCGCGCCAGTATTCTCGCCACCGTACTATTTCACCGGACGATTCATTAATCGATCCCGTAACAACTTCCCCTCTCCCATTCTCCAGCCTTCCTTGGCGACTTCTGCACGATCCAGCTCTTCAAGCGAGCTTCCTGCATTTTGTTCGTCCCGCTCGAACGCCGCATATCGTTCACCCAAGCCCATATTTCAACGTTAATTTCCCAGATGCATCGTTCGCATCAGTCCGGGCGTCGTATCAGCGCATAGACTCGTCATCTCCTTTTTGCCCTTCCTTCTTCCTTCCGTCGCGCGTATACGATTCTCTCGTTCTTCTTTTTCAGGGGGCGAATGACGACGCCTTCCCAGTCTGAAATTAATCATTTGTGCAAGCACCCGAGGAAAGGGCAACAATGCAAGGAGGGAGCAGAGAGAATGCGCGTCCCTTATCATTCTGTAAAATATTTATACACTACTCATGAATTAGATTCTTTTGTTCTTCTAGATGGAGAGGATTCTTCTTTTATTTTTCTTCCGATACTTGAGATGCTCGAAATTTAAAGCTCTTCTTTCTAGCTCAACTCGGAGCAAGTCAATCGATATTCCCACGACAAACCTATTTCGCGGATTAAGAACGTCCTGAGAAGTCATCTGACTATCTTCAACGTAGCTCCGCCTCTTCTTCATCTTCTTCTCCTCCGCTGAATAATCACGTACTCGCCACAGCGACCCTCTCTCGATTGCCGGTCGTTAATATCGACCACCAGGTAGTCTCTATCGATTGAATTTTTTACCGGTGCCCACTGCGGAAGCCGCAACTCAAACCGGTACCTCATTCGTGCTGTCGCTTCTTGAGAGTAACCGACGTTCACTTTAAACGTTCGCCATTCGTCATTGCGGCTCGTGCATCGCTATGCCGAGGATACGCAAGAAATGGGACAGTAGAATTCCCTCTCTCTCTCTCTCTCTCTCTCGCAAGATCACGCTCGAAGGCGGCGATGCTCCCCGTCATTATTCCGACGATATTTCCCGTGTACGTTAAGCCACTTGCCGAAGATAAATGCGCCCGCGAACGATCTCCGACGCCGATCGTCCAACCAAGTGAAGACGACGAATTGTCAGTATCGTCAGAATTTTTCAATCAGTAAAGAATTTTTCTCTAGGGCATACTTAAAATGTCAAAAAAATTTCAAAGAAATTGAGAGAACGCGGAATAAATTGTAATTTTTTTTCAAGAAGTATGCAACTTTTACAATAAAAAATATACGAAAATAATGACTGTGAACACATCTTTTTTATCAAGGATGGTCAGAAAATCCAGATACGGTCGAATATTTGCAAAACAAGGCATTTTTGAAAAAAAAAGTTTCATACAAAAGTTGTAGAGTTTTAAATAACGCATCAAATATGACAATAGCGTTGTTAAAGTCATGTCACCTTTAATTTCTTAAGCCCCCATTTTTCATTTCACATTCTCTCTAGCTCAGCTCGGGGGTTTTTCAAAACACTATACGAAAGTATTTTTTCGTCACTTTTCGAGTTGTAAGATTTTACAGTCCCGCTGACTGATTGTCTGTGATGCAGCATGGGAGATTGCACGGTCGGATTTATATCTCTTTCGATGAAATCTGAATGCAGAAAATTATCTACATTTGTTGAGGCACCAAGTAGAGTGCCTACCATCGATCTATATCGAGGTACGAAAAGAGTAGCATGATTAATATAACATTTTGAGAATCGCCTCTACGTTATCGACGCTTACCAAGTTCGTTTCGGTCCCCCTTTCCAGCCTAAACTTAGTCAATTATCCAGTACGATAAAATTTCCTATAAAATTTCGCAAGCAGACAAATTCATCGTGGTCGCATAACGAGCACGAGAGGGACCGTTATATATATACTCGTATAATGATCAATGCATTCCTAAACTAAGTAATTCGCGGTATCAGGCTCGCAATTGGCATGTCTCTCTATCTAGCGCAGAAATTATCTTCCAACATTTTTTCGTGTCTGAAGTTATCGACAAAGCTCGTGTAACATTTAATCGTACTCTCATGATGATGAATCCTGAGCTGATTGCGTATTATGGTACCACGGTTCGTTCCTAGATGGCAGCACGTCATATTTGCTTGATCCTTTCGGCTTGATCCTGTAGAAGCTGATTCACTTGAAAACAAAACACCTTGATAGTGAAACTATTAGAGAGCCTGCAAACTAATGCTTCACAGTTATATAAAAATACATATCCTAAACTAATATTTATATATTTAATGTGAAAATTTAGTGTGGAAGTTTGTATATTTAGTGTGAAAAAGATAGTTTTCATTAAAATGGGAAAAATATTGCAAATGTTTGAAATCATATACAAAAATGAATTGTGGAAGTATAGTCTGTTTGATAAGAGCATGCCCGGCATAACTCGGAAACTATTTATTGTATTATTGAATTGAAAAGGTACACACATATTATTTGATAAGAACCGTAATTTTTTATTATTAATAATTTATTCAGTCGCCTCCATTATCAAAAATTATCTGGTAACTCATACTTTTCACTAATTTTATGGCATATTCTTGAGGTGATTCTTCAGATTAATCGTCGAACCAGTTGCTTTCTAAATTTTCTTTCCGCGAAACTTAAGCTTCATAAATACCAAATCATGGGATTTGCATCCGGCGACGATCAATCCAGTGCATAAACGACATTTCTTTATTTCTATGCAGCACAACTCCGATGTTTCCCGACATTTCTATGAAATGTGAAAACGCAGAGAATATAAAAGGAAAGTTATTTCTATTATGTTTGTGCAGTCAATTCATAACAGCAAATCAGTTGTTTGAAAAGGTGTAACTAATGAATATTCTGAAAAGTTTGCGAATACACTTCTATAGGCTTTTCCAGTTGCAGAAAATTATATTTACGACGTGTCTTTAGATTTCAAAAGTAAATAATCACGATTTTATTCCTCCTAATTTTATTGAATTTACTTGTTTCGTGTGGGAAAATTATATCATATAAAATTCATGATATAAATCATTGCTCATTAATGCATGCAAGAAGACGTTATTTTCAGCGAAGAAATTGCGCTACGATGGATAGTTAATTAGCTCTCTGACGGCTCTTATGGGCCCGAGAGAGAAGGGCGGAATGGCTTCCGAAAGTGTCGGAACGGAGCCGATCGATCAACGACGAGGCTCGGCTGTACCGAGAGCGGCTCTGACA